GCTTCTTTGTATTCGGTGGTAACACGGTGTGTGTTGGACATGATGTAGATCGTCGTTGAGTAAGTGAAGTCATGTGGGAACATGGGCTTTGTTGGCTTACATATGTGATACGCATGTTGTCGTAACGGCTTCCACACCGTTGATTTATATTCAGCAGTATATGTATGTTGTCTTTGAAATTGAAGTAGACAGTAGAGTATGCTTGTGACATTCCACAAGATAGTTAAGTGAATTTCAATGAAGGTTGGATGTACAGTACTTGATGCCAATTGAAAAGAATAACCGTTCTGGCTATTGAATAGTCAATCTACCATCATCTTTGTAGGCTAGTCTCTATTATTCATCCCTTGGGTTCATAGGGGAACATATGGCTTCAGTCCATAGCACTAATTGGAGATTTGTAGAATATGTCACCATTTTCATCAATATTTTGATTATTAACAAATCTATCTGTGATTTTTATTCACTAATTACTATGAGAGAAAGTGTGTTAGGGTGAAATTCTGTACAGTTAAGGTTAACACATGTGTATATATATACATCATATGATTTTTATTATAGTTTATGTTACTCTAATCATTTTCTAATTATACATTATACTTTCCTTTATTCATGTAATTTATTCCAATAGTACACACAGGTTATCTTTTCAATCTATAGACATTTCATGGCATTTATTAAAGTTTTATTCAATACTCAATTTACAATTTTGTTTATACCGAATTAAAGCTAAAGTCAGATAAATAGTTAACTTGAAATCTTCAATACACTAATGTCATAATAAAGAACAGGTGGATAGAATGATATTGAAGTAGATAAGAATATGTGAAAGAATTAACCATTTCAAGTATTAGAAGATGTTGAGAAGTTAATACATCTAGGCTATTGTAATTGATTCTCAAGTGTCTTCAATCAATCATTCCTGTCATCTTGCATTCACCCAATACCAAGTCTATGCCTCAATATACAGTTGACATCAAAAGTTAGAAATTTCTTAGTTTGTTTACTATAAACCATCTAACAACATTGTATATCGAGGAATACAGTCGTGGCTCAGTATCTTAACTACATGTTGAAGTCACTTCAGTCAATAAAGGTTAACAACCACATCAATCAACTTATTTGTCTTGTCTAGTAGTAAACTTCACTTCACTTCACTTCAACATTCTTCACATTGTAATTCCAGTATACTCGAGAAATGCTACAGAGATATCTATAAGTGGAAAATCTGTAGTCCTTCTTCATGTCATCATCAACTTTTATTGTCTATATGTCTCACAATCGTGTAACAGGATAGAACGAACTGGAGATGGACTGTATACTCATCTCGCCAATCGATATGAAAGTTGATGCAAGTTGACGAATGCCATCAATATAACTAATTCTTTATATTCATGCCATTCATGATGTTCACAGAAGCCTTTTCTTCTTATTTCAAGGTGTGTATCACAGGGGGTTATAGTTTTCACATGGTACCCAGAGATAAAATTGTCAACTAACCATGGTTAATGCGACTGACATGTTGAAACATACATGGACTAACCGTTTATCTTGATGCGTGATATAACATAAGATGAGATTACTTTAAAAAAGTAACCTGACAGTGATGATATTCAGGTGTGGTGTACTACACATATCCCATAACTGAATATACTGAGGAATAAGTTCGCTTTGTTCACTTGTGTTGTATAAGTGAAACATTACCACTAAAAGTGGAAGTCATGTTAAAGCTCGAATTATTCAACCATTTTGTAGTTATAGACAAGGGAGGTTGGTCAATTGATGAGGTTGTCTGTTCATTACAATCTACCTGTTTAGCCCTGGTGGAGACTATGAGTGATATACCTGAGAATGAAACTGACTTTGATGCAGATGTATTCACATTATCTCCTGTCTAATTTCTATCGTTAATCCAGTTATGCTCAGGTGACATGTTGATATTGTCTTGGATTTAAACGTTTCACTAGTTCATGAAGTTAGCAACTGCTGGGCTCAATCGTGCCAAGAATCCGCGGATGAAAATCTACTACAGTGGAACAGATGAAATTGTAATCACCATGACTCTGAGGCTCTTTTCAAATTTGCTGAAAGTGATTGGCACAACCTGAAGGGAAATGATCTATCCCGTAGGATCTTGCATCAACAAGATGTTATCACTGACCTTTTCAACCATTGTTGATCTCTTTTAGGAATAGATTATATGCATTTATTGGTCACTGGAGAATCACCAAGGGTTTTCTAAATGAGAAGTTGTACAGTTTGGCAACTCTAACTGATCCAGCTGTATAAGATATTATGTTGTTCTTGTTATAAAAGCAAATAATTATATTTTGTAAGGATACTGAAAGCATTGTGGTTTATAGAAGATTGATTTATCTCCTAAGAAGCCAGTTTCCCGCAGTCGATATCCCCTCACTAACCTTGTGCACCTCGTTACAGTCAGCAGGAAGCCGCACTCACTTTGTAGGAGTTAATAATATTGCCTAGTGTGCCTGAACTTTCGTATGTACAGTGATGTACAAACCCCCATTCATAGGTTTAAAGCCAGTGATCGACAGAATCTCAGCACTAATGCAATAAGCTGAATTAGCGTTCGCCAACTTATTCCATCTTTACTGTTGCTGTGATAATAAGAGGATAGTGTACTTCACTGCAGTTCATTCTGTTCTGCTATTCCGCCTGTAAGACATAGTCATTAAAAATAGACGATCTGAGAAGATTTTAAGTATTCGATTACTGTTGCCTTCATTAAAAGTAGAAGAGATGAAGCAGTTACAAGTTTTTATTATAGGTGTCTTAGTAAGATTGCTGGCGTTTGGGGTAAACATTATATGAGCTATATTGAGGTCAAGCGAAGCGTACTAGACAAGACAGGTAAGTGGATTGATTGTTGCAACAGCCACCTACTTTCATGTGTCAAGTTGAATTAAGTTGGAAGGGGGGGGGTTCACTGTGGCCATACCAAGATGTCATGCCAGTCAATGAAGTCTCTGACTATTGGCTTGAGCCATGTGGCGGAAGATGCAGATTACTTGGGGTCCCCCAGATGTCAAGCGTGAATTATTACACTAAATTGTGTATCTTCTCACATAACTTTGTCACATTGCTCATCTAGATAAACGGTTAGTCCATGTATGTTTAAACATGTCAGTCGCATTAACCATGGTTAGTTGACAATTTTATCTCACAGTACCATGTGAAAACTATAACCCCCTGTGATACACACCTTGAAATAAGAAGAAAAGGCTTCTGTGAACATCATGAATGGCATGAATATAAAGAATTAGTTATATCGATGGCATTCGTCAACTTGCATCAACTTTCATATCGATTGGCGAGATGAGTATACAGTCCCACTCCAGTTCGTTCTATCCTGTTACACGACTGTAAGACATATGGACAATAAAAGTTGATGATGACATGAAGAGAGACTACAGATTTTCCACTTATAGATATCTCTGTAGCATTTCTCGAGTATACTGGAGTTACAATGTGAAGAATGTTGAAGTGAAGTGAAGTGAAGTTTACTACTAGACAAGACAAATAAGTTGATTGATGTGGTTGTTAACCTTTATTGACTGAAGTGACTTCAATATGTGGTTAGGATAGTGAGCCACGACTGTATTCCTCGATATACAATGTTGTTAGATGGTTTATAGTAAACAAACTAAGAAATCTCTGACTTTTGATATCAACTGTATATTGAGGCATAGACTTGGTGTTGGGTGAATGCAAGATGACAGGAATGATTGATTGAAGACACTTGAGAATCAATTACAATGGTGCAGATTTAATCATTGTTTGATGTCTCCTGTAGCTTGACTTTTCTCACTTTCCTTTATCTTGTTTTTTTTTTGGTACATACAACTATGAAGTGTGAAAAGTTGAATCGATACACTTGTTTCTACGATGTTCTACGTTGATTTTCTTTAACTATCTGTTTATCTTCGTAGTACGAATCAATGTGTTATTTATTGTAAGGCACTAGTTTTGTATAGAACATTGTTATCGATCTGAACATTTTCAACCTGATATTAACACACTATCTTTTTTACTGTATGACTTGTAGTCTACTTTCTACTCTCATTGTAATGTAAATCGTTGGTTGGCTAACGTTTCCCCTTACTATGCCAATATCTCCAATTGCGGACAAGATCATATTTTATATGTGTGCTTATTCACATGTTTTTAGATTGATCGGTTATTATATTCTCGGAGTAATAAAGTATCCCATCATCCAGCTTCGGTCTTGTCTCTATTCGGCCTAGGGTTGTTAGTGGGTCTTGCGTACTAAGTTGGCTGTCAGCTAAGCGTGTGTATTATATTCATTTTCGGAGTATATAACAGTTGGCGGCGGAACATATATATCAGTTATAGTATGACTTTCAGCACAAAGAGCAATATCTGGATTTTCAACACCAATGTCAGTCAAGTCAATGCTACTGTATGGCTCAGAGATTTGGCACGTCACGAAAAGCACCTCGAACAAACTACAGACATTCATCAACAGCTGCCTACGCTTGTTGTTGAAGATCAAATGGCCAGAATAATAAGAATAAGCAAAACAAGGAACTGTGGGAACGAACCAACTAAGAGCCTATCGGTCAACAAATATACAGGAGAAGAAAGGTAAGATGGATTGGGCATACATTGAGAAGGCCGACTGAGGACATTATGCGCCAGGTCGTCGGGTTGAATCCAATAGGGGAAACGATGAGTTGGGCATCTGAGGCTAGGGTAACATGGAGGAGAGGATGATATGAAAGCTTGTGGGCAGTCGTTGCGCCAAATTAGAATGACTTCAGACAAGAGGGTAGAATGTAGACGTGCTGTTGAAGACTTATGTTCTACTAGGAATGACATGTATTGTTTGACACGTTTTTTTTTTTAGCTGAACGTTGACTACTAGTTCTATCTCTTGTTAAAGAATAATTTCTATTCACTAAATAGAAATTTAACTTTCTTCTCGTTCTTCTTTTTCTCTCTTTTTTTGTTTATAGTCGCTAAAAATATCTCAAAAAATGGAGATAAAGCTACAATTAGTATGCTTGAAAAGCTTAACATTATGTCATCAGATGCATCGAATAAGATTAAACGTTCAGTATACGAAAATTATAAATTATTTATTAAAGCTGGTAAAGCAGCTAGTCAATTAGAGAATACAATGCATCAAATACATAATGAATTTACAGAGAAACAACGTGTTATGAATACTCTTACTGAATTATCTTTATTCGGTGGTAAGATTATAATCTAATCGATGTATATATATATATATATATATATATATATATATATATATATATATATATATATATATATATATATATATATATATATATATATGGATATTATTTACTTTTCTGAATTGTCTGATTTCGAAGAGATGCAGCCAGGAACATAGACACACTTACCGACGCCTGATAATCGCTGTATGCTTCTCAACCTGAAGGTGGCGGTGAAAGATGTGCTGAGTAAGTACTCGAAGACTTGTAGGTGTGTTACAGCCTATAGTGAGATGTTCAGGGAGCTGTAACTCTCGAGTAGTCTCCATCAAGACTGCTGACTCTCTTCATTCTTATTCAATTTTATCATAGATATTCTTATGGAGGTTTCACTCTTGTCACCAGGTTACACAGACGTCGTTCTAATCACAGAAGAATTTTTGTTAGACCCAGAATACGCAGATGACATAGTCCTTTAAGGTGAAGACGCTGACAACATGTATAGTCTTCTGAACACTTTGAGTGTCAATCTGATAATGTTTGGGATGGGTTTCTCACCACTGAAATGCAAACTGTTGCTCAAGGATTGGTCTTCAACGGTGCCACAACTAACAACAGAGAGTGTGTAGTGATTGAGTGTGTCGACCACTTAACTTATCTGGAAAGTAGTATCAGACCCGGTGGCTAGCTCAGTGTCCGATGAAATCTCTGTCGACCTGAAGTCGGTATTCAACTTCGTTGGTCAAGAAGTCTTATAGTGATGTCTCTCACTGAAAGGCGTGCCGAGTAACTACGTCACCTTGTTGAAGGCTCTCTACTCAAACATTTGTGTGCGTGTTAGGGTTAGGGTGATGGATTTCTCGTCATCTTACCAAGATTCAGTTCTCAATCACTAATTTATATCGTCTCAAGGACTTAAGATAAGCATTCTATATCATCCTGTACACGGCTCATTACCAACAGTCAGAGATTTAATCAACTCACTGGTGTTATATTTTGATCTGATCAATTTTTCCCTGGAATACCACGTCTAGGTCGGTAGCTATGGCTTGGAATACACAGTAAATGTCGAAGCAATCTCGATCGATGAAGGTAGTTCATAAACTCGTCAATCGATTGACTTGCCTAGTACGCTTCGTCGTGTAGTCGCTTCATGTCTTCCACTTTCGACAGCTATGTCTTATAACCGTACAGCAAGACAGAACGAATTACTCAGGGAAGTATACTTGTCATTTGATAGATAATCCGATATGTCCACTCCCGAGACTAAGTGTATTTCTCGACCTGAAGATGGCATTCCACTCCGTGGGTCGAGAAGTCTTATTCCAATGTCTCTCTGAAAGGCGTGCCTAGTAAGTTCATCACTTTATTGAAGGTTGTCTACTGGGACACTTGTGGGTGTGTTACAGCCTATGGTGACATGTCAGGTGAGCTGTACTCATCGAGTGGTGTCCGTCAAGGCTGCCCACTCTCTCCATTTTTATTCAATTTCATCATACATATTCTTATGGAGGTTTCCCTCTCGTCACCTGATTACATAGAGGTTAACCTAATCGGTGGAGAGTTTTTGTTAGACCCAGAATACACAGATGACATAGTCCTGTTAGGTGAAGACGCTGACAAGATGTAGGTTCTTCTGAACACTTTGAGTAACAATTTGAGAATGTTTAGGATGGCAGTAATGCCTGGTCCTTTGTTGATATTAATGATGATGATGATGACTGTTTGAAATTACGTGTTGAATATAGATGAACGTTCATCTCAATCTCAACAAAGTGGAGACATAGCCAGCTTACTGGACACAAGATCAAGTAAAGAAGGCGAAGGATAGGTCCATTCGATTTCATACTCCATTTGTCTTGATTTGTTGGTTCTTCGGCTTTGAAGAGTTTGTTCAAGGTTTTATTGATCTGGTTGTCGAACTTTTGGATAGGATAGAAATAACAGAGCAAGACAAATGGTGTATGAAATTGAATGGACCTACGCTTCCTCGATTCTACGGCAGATCAAAACTACACAAATCAGACATCGCTCTACGACCAAAAGTCTCACTTCCGGAAACTCCAACATACAACATATCAAGAGAACTTTCGTGAAAACTGAAACACTTCGTTCAATCATGTGGACATTCCATCAAGTCACCAACGGAATTCTTAGAAGAGATCAAGGGCATTAACATAGAAAACGATGAATTAATGATATCCTTCGATGTCACAGCATTATACACATCCATTGAAGCCCAATTGACCAAGGAAATTATGTCCCTTCTGCTCAATGAAAACACAAGCCTTACAGAACACACAAAACATAAATGTTCAAGTTTCATGGGACTCATCGACCTTTGTATGATAACATACAGATGAAGGGGATTCCAATGGGATCACCGATATCTGGATTAATTGCAAAAGCAATGACTGCAGTGGAGACTGAAAACCATCATCCTACCAGTCATTAGACCGAAAATTTGGATTCTCTATGTACATGATACAGAGAACACTCACAGTTTGATTAATAATATTTTTGCTTATGACACCACATTCACAATGGCGAAGGAGTCGAACACAACCAACTACCATTTCTCGATGTTTTAGTCAATCGGACAATTCCCGGAAAGCTTGGAACTCAAGTGTACAGGAAACCAACACACACTGACTGATCGAATCCTCAACTACAATAGCAGCAATCCAACAACCCACAAAATCAGTTGTGTGCAGACTCTATTCAGAGGAGCGAGAACATACTGCACTGCACTGCACCACAACAACTTCACTGAGACACGAATAAAATTACTTGATGTCCATTGTAAAGAAGAACAGCTACCCACGAAACTTTATCAGAAGATGCCTATCCCATACAACATCATGTACAAAGTCATCGACAGAAGTCAACAAACGCATCATTTTACCATACATAAAGAATATATCAGAAATCACGACAAGATTAACGAAACCACTTGGAATCGGTGTTGCTCATAAACCAACAAATTCCCTCCATACACTATTATGCAACAACCAAAGAAGAGAAGACAAACTGAATATCATTTACAAAATCAACTGGAATAATTGTAGTCAACACTACATTCGACAAAGGGGGTCGCCATCTTCACCTTCGTCTACATGAACACTAATTGGCTATTAAAGGTCAGGACATTTCATCACTCATTTCAATGCATGTAGGTAATTGTGGACATGAATTCAATTTCGATAATATAGGAATCTTGGAGGGAGGGATGAAACACAAAGAATATCATCAGATAATTCCAAGAAGCTTGGCATTCAGTTCAGTTAGTCAGCAATCCACAGATTTATAGACATAGACCCAATCTATCAACCAATGACAGAAATGATAAACGACAGAAAGGTGAACAGGGGTGAAGAAGAGGGATAGCCAACAGGAAAATCTCTACAAGTCAGTCAGTGACACAACAATCAAAGAAAACAACCAATCATAGACCACATCGTCAGAGCAAGTCACTGAATCACTCACGGAGACATATTGACAGCTCACAATTCATACTGAAGTTAGTGGTGTGGATGATGTCACTATCTAGAAAGTTGATGAAAACTTCTCCCTGACTAAACAACTCAGAACCTCAGAGAACACAATACAACCAAGGACTTTGAGTAGGATTCTAAAGGGTTCAAGGTGTCCATTCAATAAAACTTCCCTTCTTACTGTACACCTTAGCCGTGTGTGTAGATGTAGACTCTTTGGTTGGACTCTCTGAGATGAAAGGAATCAGAAGTTGAAAACGAACTGGCTGGAAATCAGTCATAGTGGTTCAAATCTATTCAATCGTTGAATATCTGTCTTTTAGTTTACTGTGAAGTGTATGTCAAGTCTTACCGATCCATCCATGTGTATGGTTCTGCATTCTTTATCCTGTGTGAACCGTCAGCGATCGAGTACAAATGTGCAATTATTAATTTACTGATCATGTATCAGTTTATGTTTCTCTCTCCATCAATCAGAGTATAGGCTCTCGTAACATAAAAGGTAATGAAAAACTTCATCAGAAACTGTAATATTCAGTTAAACAAGCTATCCGTGAGTATGATCTATGCTTCACTCATCTGCGGTAATGAGTAATCGAAAAGTTGTTCGTGTATCTGTGAATGGAGGTGTATGAGTGATGAAATTGCTAACCACATATCGAAGACCAAAATCGCACACGTGAATCTGGATCACTTTTGGCGCCGTCGTGACGTTAGTCTGACCATAAAACGTCAGGTTTACAATGCTTCGGTGCCAGCGTGAAACCTGGTTTCTTCGAGGTGAGGATATACGACGACGACGACTCAATGTGTTCGATCCTACAGGCTTCTTTGTATTCGGTAGTAACATGGTGTGTGTTGGACATGATGTAGATCGTCGTTGAGTAAGTGAAGTCATGTGGGAACACGGGCTTTGTTGGCTTACATATGTGATACGCATGTTGTCGTAACGGCTTCCACACCGTTGATTTATATTCAGCAGTATATGTGTATTGTCTTTGAAATTGAAGTTGACAGTAGAGTATGCTTTTGTGACATTCCACAAGATAGTTAAGTGAATTTCAATCAAGGTTGGATGTACAATACTTGATGCCAATTGAAAAGAATAACCGTTCTCGCTATTGAATAGTCAATCTCCCATCATCTTTGTTGTCTAGTCTCTATCGTTATATTATTATTCATCCCTTGGGTTCATAGGGGAACATAAGGCTTCACTAGCACGTCTCCATTCCACTCTGTTCTCCACAGCCTTTTGAACCTGGCTCCATGACTGCCAACAAGCTCTCATTTCTTCCTCACACCATCTACTCCTCCATGTCACCCTCGCCTCCGACACCCAACTCGCCGTTTCCCATCTGGGTTCCAGTTGAGGGACTGTCCTGGCACGTGATGTCCCCAATCGGCGTTCTCAGTGCATGGCCAATACAATCCATCTCTACTTTCTTCACCTACATATTTGATGAACGATAGGTTGTTGGTTGGTTCGTTGCCAGCCAGCCAGCCAACCAGAGTTCCTTGTTGCTTATTCTTATTGTTCTGGCCATCTCATCGATCTTCAGCGTTGAGCATAGTCGGAAGCTGTTGTGATGAATGTATGCAGTTTATTGGAAATGCTTTTCGCATCGCGCCAAGTCTCTCAACCATAATATTGAAGCACTGACTTGACTGAATTGGTGTTGAAAATCCGGATGTTGTTCACGCTTTATGCTGAGTGCAGTTCAGTAGATCTCCTCACTGATTTCAGAATAATAAAGGGCGGCATGTCTTGCTGTCTTTCCGATCCTCGCTGGCTGGCTGGCTTTGAAGTCCTCGTCTGTTCCAGTGCCACCTGTAGTTGAAACGATGCTGTCTAGGTAGGTCGGTAGGTGAAAGAGACCACTTCATTTAGGTTTCTCCCGTTAATCATGATTGGTGCTTGTTGTTGATGTTGTTGTTTGTTGGATATCTTCATCACCTCCGTCTTCTCTACATTCACTTTAAGGAAGTCCCGTTTTCCCTACCCTACCTCTTCTGTCAACTTGTTAGTTTTTGCCTGTACATCTTCGAGTTTGTGACACATCAATTATCGGCGAAATCCAAATTTTGTAGGCTCTTTTCATCGGTGCAGCCAGCGTATGCCCATCTTTTCGCTCTTCACTGTTTGCTGCATGATCCAGTCGACCAAAATCAGGAAGATGATCAGTGATAGTCGGCAGCCTTGTCTCGTCTGTCTCCTATCTTCGCTTCAAAGGCGTCACCTAACTTTCCATTGTGGATCACTTGTCATGTGACGTTTCCATATAGCTATTGAATGAGCTTGATATAGGTGTATGGTGTTTCGTAGTGTTGGAGGAACTGCCAAATTACTTCTTGATCGATGCTGTCGAAGGCCTTTTCAAAGTGTATGATGTTGAGGTACAGGTACAGTTGACTGCTATTCTATCCTCTATTCTATGTTGATGCAATTTATAGCGTGAATGTAATGTATTATGTGTTTGTTTTCATATTTCTATAATCTTTCTAAAGATGTAATCACAGATGTCTCTGCATCAGAATATGATTTATCCGATACACATAATAATGAAACTACTGGAAACTTACCACATAGTGAGTATACTGGCATCACTGCAACACGTTTAGCTGGGTTAGTTGAAGGAGCTTCAGTAAGTTAATTTATCTTCATTTAATTGTTTCGTATTGAATCAATCTATTCTCATTTATTTGCTTGATGTAAGTGTTATGGTTGATTATATGGAGTTTACTAGAGGTGACTAACTGAATGGTTTGGACAGCCAGATAGTAAGTAGTATCATTAACCGATACACATACGTAATTGGTGTATGAAGTAGCGTTGCCCCTCCTCTTTTCTATTCCGCACAGTATTTATTAGTTGGATATCCGACTGTCTATTAAGAGTTGCATGTACTGCACAGCAGTCTGGTCTGTTCTACTGTATGACTGTGAAACATGGCGATTGAAGGTGGAAGACATGAGAAGACTTCAGGTGTTTGAACAGCACCACCTTTGTAGTATAGGCTAGGCGGTATTCCTTGGTGTCACCATGTGAGTAACGCAGGTTTATGGAGAAAAGGTAAATCAGTTGACAAGGTTATGAATCTTTATCGACTGAGATGGTTTGGACACGTACTACGTATGCTCAGTCACCGATTTCCTCGTCACACAATGTTGGCCGAAGTGGGTTCAGGCTGGTAGAAAAGCCCGAGGTGGCCTGACTAAAACATGGCACGAATGTATGAAGTCTGTGACTGTTAGTTTGAGCCATGTGGGGGCGATGCAGACTAGCCAGCCAGTTGAGGTCCGCGAGACAATAGGAACCAACAGTGGTTGGAGAGACTAGGTGGTGGTATGGCTCAGAACCGATATGAGTAGCGCAGATGTATCCCCCACACATATTATCCTTATCTTAACGACACTATACCGATTCTCACCATTTTGTCATTCTTCCTTTCTTTCTTCTCATACTTTATATTTCTTTTGACTGAATTCTCTTATCTTCATCCTTCACCTCACTTCCTTGTTTATTTGATGTAGTGATATGAGGTGTGTCAAGTTGGACCGTTACGCGTTAAGTAATGCCTGGTCCTTTGTTGATATTGATGATGATGATGATCAGTAGGATTGTTTTTCTACACTTGATGTGAATGCGTATAAAATCTCTGCATTTCATGTGAGAATATATTGAAAAAATGAACTATTTAAACCTTTCCTTGATTAGTATTATTGTTTTTCATGAGACCGTCGTTGATTGAACCCAACTGATCGGTCTCTATTGGCATATAGGATCCTGTGCGGATGCCTCGATATTATCTGTGCTCCAATGGTAGTAATGATGAATATTGGCTAGCAGTGGAATTCAGGATGCACATTTCGTCCTATTTGGGACTAGTCAGCTGGATTTACCTGCGTCCCGGTGAGTGATGATGATCCCCATCGGGATTCGGACTCGGGAGTGATCGCTTCAAACGCCAGAGCGTTATCCACTACACCACCGAGCCACGATAGCTACTTCTTGTGCGTTTAAAGCCATCACTTCCGACTGGATCATGCAGCAAACAGTGAGGAGCGAGAAGATGGGCATACGCTGGCTGCACCGATGAAAAGAGCCCACAAGATTTGAATTTCGCCGATGATTGATATGTCATAAACTCGAAGATGTACAGGCAAAAACTAACAAGTTGACAGAAGAGGTAGGGTAGGGAAAACGGGACTTCCTTAAAGTGAATGTAGAGAAGACGGAGGTGATGAAGATATCCAACAAACAACAACATCAACAACAAGCACCAATCATGATTAACGCGAGTAACCTAAATGAAGTAGTCTCTTTCACCTACCTACCTACCGACCGACCTACCTAGACAGCATCGTTTCAACTACAGGTGGCACTGGAACAGACGAGGACTTCAAAGCCAGCCAGCCAGCGAGGATCGGAAAGACAGCAAGACAGGCCACCCTTTATTATTATTTGGAAATCAGTGAGGAGATCTACTGCACTGCACTCAGCATAAAGCGTGAACAACATCCGGATTTTCAACACCAATTCAGTCAAGTCAGTGCTTCTATGTGATGGTTGAGAGGCTTGGTGCGTTACGAAAAGCATTTCCAATAAACTGCATACATTGATCAACAGCTTCCGACTATGCTCAACGCTGAAGATCGATGAGATGTCCAGAATAATAAGAATAAGCAACAAGGAACTCTGGTTGGCTGGCTGGCTGGCTGGCTGGCTGGCAACGAACCAACCAACAACCTATCGTTCATCAAATATGTAGGTGAAGAAAGTAGAGATGGATTGTATTGGCCATGCACTGAGAACGCCGATTGGGGACATCACGTGCCAGGACAGTCCCTCAACTGGAACCCAGATGGGAAACGGCGAGTTGGGCTTCCCACCTGAGGGTGACATGGAGGAGTAGATGGTGTGAGGAATAAATGAGAGCTTGTTGGCGGTGATGGAGCCAGGTTCAAAAGGCTGCGGAGAAAAGAATGGAATGGAGACGTGCTAGTGAAGTGTTATGTTCCACTAGGATCCCAGGTGAAAAATAATAATGTCTGAAGGCTATTGAACTGTTTAGTTATAGCAAAAGAAATTAAATCAGTATTGTGTACCCCATGGTCCTATTTTCCTGCCACACCTCAGCTTATATCAGCACATTAAGTAGTAACAAGTCAATAAAAAGAAAGATGAAAAGGGAGAGAGGCACCGGTCAAATGAAGTAGGAATTATAAAAAGAGATGAAGGAGGAGTGGGGATAATATGTATTGGGATACATTTGCACCGCTGACATCGGTTCTCATGTCTTATGGACCCTAACCGCCGGCTAGTCTTCATCGCTTCACATGGCTCAAACCAACAATCAGAGACTTCATACACTAATACCATGTTTTAGTCTGGTCCCCTTTAGCCTTACTCTAGCTAACATTGTGTGACGAGGCAGATAGTGACTAGGCAGACGTAACACACGTCGCAGCCCTTTCAGTCGATGAACGTTCGCAACCTCATGAATTGTCATACTTCTCCTTTCTCTGGAAAACTCTACGTCTGACTTCTGTGTTACTCACCTCAAGAGCAATGGTAGTCAAACACCTGAAGCCTTCTCATGTCTTCCACCTTTAATCGCCATCTTTCATAGCCATAGAGTAGAACAGAGCAGACTGCAGCACGGTACTCTCGACCTTTAATAGACAATCGGATATCTTGTCGGAGCCATGGATGGCGTAAGTTGGCGAGAGCTAATCGAGGCTTTTATATTTATGCAGAGATTTTGTCGACTAGTGACCAACGCACTAGGGCTGATCGCACTTTCCAGGTAAGTGGAATGTTCAACACCCTCAACCAATTCACTCTGTATTGTTAATTGGGGTACTGTTGAAGACTAGTCCTGGATTAATAGTTTGCATTTTGGCGGTGGAAAATGCATACATCCCAAACATCCTCACATTGCTACTCAGTGTGTATAGAAGACCCTACATCTTGTCAGCGTCTTCACCTAACAGGACTTTGTCATCTGCGTATTCTTGGTCTAACAAAAATTCTTCTGTGATTAGAACGACGTCTGTGTAACCTGGTGACGAGAGGGAAACCTCCATAAGAATATCTATGATAAAATTGAATAAGAATGAAGAGAGTCAGCAGCCTTGATGGAGACTACTCGAGAGTTACAGCTCCCTGAACATCTCACTATAGGCTGTAACACACCCACAAGTGTTCGCTTAGAGATCATTCAATAAAGTGATGTACTTACTTGGCACACCTTTCACCGAGAGACATCGCCATAAAACTTCTCGATCTGGAATGTGTTTTCAGATCGAGAAATACAGTTAGGGTTAGGGTTGAGTGTAATATTTTTTTGTCGATGCACTGGTGGCTGGGTGTAAACTCTGCCTGGTTTTCTCGGGCTTGGTTTTTCTGAGCTCCACTAAGGCGTCGAAGAATTGTAGAACTTAGGATGTTGTATACTATGTTTTTCAGGCTGATTTCTGTGTGGTTATCATAAGAGGACTTCTCGTCTTTTTTGAAGACTGGAATAATGATTGATTTAGACGAGTCAGAGGGGTCATGTTTGATGTGCCTATACTCGTTAAGACTTCCGTTAACCTGACTAAGAGCACTGTACCACTATCGTTGTATACCTGAGGAATTAGTCCATCTGTCCCACCTGCCCTTCCTTGTTTCAAGTTACCTATCACTTTCTCGACATCTACAAGTGCTGGGGTAACTATCTCATGTTCTATTCAGGATCCGACTGGATAGCGAGGAACACAATGGTGGCTGGAGGCCAGTTAAACTGTCTCACCCATTCCATTCTAGTCATTATCGTTGCGAGTAAATCGTAGACCCACCCTTCTCTGCTGTAGTTTCATTCACCGTTGACTTTTTTCGCCACGATGTTGTCACTAGAGAATTTCCTTACATGAAAAGTGAAGAAATCAAGGAGAAAATAGTCAAAATAGGGAACAATGGGGAAAACAATGATCAATCTGACTCCGAGCTATATCAATTCGAGTCTCCAACAACTGGTGGTTTCTGTTATCACGTTGACATCAACCTCTGTTCCTCTGTATGGTTGAGATTGACAATCGAACACTTCATAACAATGATGAAAGTTCTCAACACCATCAATTGACTTATATGAGTGACACTTATACTACAAAGGCAATGGTGGTCATTACTTTTACCTCTAGTGGTCATTTTTCATAGTTACGCAGTAGAACAGAGTGAAATCCCAGTGAAGTACACCCAATTCCTTATTATACAATTCCATATATGGTGTAAGCTGGTCAAGTAAGTCAAACCAGCCTTTTATAATCCGTACAAAGATTTCTTCGACTACTGACCAGTACATCAACGCTAACCTGATTTTCCAGGTCAATGAGAGTATCATCATTATCATCGTTATCAACATAGGACCAGGCATTATTGCGTAACGGTCCGAGTTGCCACACCTCATATCAGCACATCAAGTAAAAAGGTAGTGAGGTGAAGGATGAAGATAAGTGAATGCAGTCAAAAGAAATATAAAGTACGAGAAGAAAGGAAAGAGGAGTGACAAAATAGTGAGATTCGGTATAGCGTTGTTAAGATGAGGATAATGTGTGCATACATGTGCGCCACTGACTTCGGTTCTAAGCCATATCACCTAGGGTCTCCAACAAGCACTGGTTCCTCTTGTCCCGTGGACCCCAACCACCTAGACTCCATCGTCCTACATGGCTTAAATCAACAGTCAGAGACTTCATACATTGGTGCCATGTTTTAGTCTGGCCACTTCGGGCCTTTTTCCAGCCTTGACCCACCTCAGCCAACATTGTGTGACGAGGCAATCGGTGACTAGGCAGGCATACGTAGTACGTGTCCCAACCATCTCAGTCGATGAAGGTTCACAACCTTGTCAACTGACTTACCTCTTCTCCCCAAAACTCTACACCTAACTTCTGCATTACTCACATGGTGTGGTGACACCACGGAATACGTCCTATACTACGAAGGCAACGGTGGTCAAACACCTGAAGCCTTTTTGTATCCTCCACTTTCAATGGCCATGTTTCACAGCCATGAGAGTATACTCAATCACACTTCACTCCTGTATATTGTTTAACGTAACAGTTACGTATACCACACTCCTTAGGTATTCTCAAACTGTTATTCAATATATCCAGTCGACTAGGCATCATATAGGAGGCATCTTCGCCCAATAGGATTGTATGATTGAGGGTGGTGATGTGTGTGTGTGTGTGTTCTGTATAAAAATATCCTCCTAATTATCTATAATATTATTGTCTATCATCTGTAAATTAGGTGTTGGTCGGTGATTCAAGTCGTCGAGTTATTTTCGATGGAGATCTACGCGAATTAAGCATGGATGATTTTACTTTAGTCTGTATGGCTAGAGTTTTTGTTCTAACTGACACTTTGGTCATTGCATATCATAATCAGTCTGGCTCGTAAGTTTCTTTCTTCTTCCTCTTTGTATATTAATGCCTATCGTGGTTAGGGTTGTATTTTTTTTCTGCCTCGTAATCTGTTTAGTGACTAGGAATGGTATCAAGGATACACGTTTCGTCCAATTTGAAACTCATCATCCGAATGTACTTTGCATCCCGTGAATTTACGTTCTAGGATGAACTATTTGAGATGATCAGGTGCATCGACACGAAATACGCTTTCTGCATCAAACTGACAGCCACTATTATACTTTTATTATTTGTCTCTTGGGTTCCTAGTGGAACATAAGGCTTCACTAGCACGTCTCCATTCCACTCTGTTCTCCACAGCCTTTTGAACCTGGCTCCATGACTGCCAACAAGCTCTCATTTCTTCCTCACACCATCTACTCCTCCATGTCACCCTCAGGTGGGAAGCCCAACTCGCCGTTTCCCATCTGGGTTCCAGTTGAGGGACTGTCCTGGCACGTGATGTCCCCAATCGGCGTTCTCAGTGCATGGCCAATACAATCCATCTCTACTTTCTTCACCTACATATTTGATGAACGATAGGTTCTTGATTGGTTCGTTGCCAGAGTTCCTTGACAACCTTACTAGGTTCAAACATAGTGCGGACATCCTGTGTCCCCATGTTTACTTTCTCTTTCATCGAGAGAAGACACAACGGCCAATTGGCTTCCCGAAGGCTTTCACCAACCGGCGTCATATCGTCTCTCCGATTCCAGCAAGAAATTAGTTTGTTTTTATGTTTTATATTTTGTTTGTGCTTTGAAGTTTCTGTAGTAGTTGGGTTGGTTTTACGGAGTAGGGTTGCTAGCCCTATGCCTTCCCTCTTTACCCAGGCCTAGGACCGGCAGGTAACTAGTGAACTAATTAACCCGGCGAGGTTATTGTTATGATACTTTTCAGATATCTGAAAATCTGATCGTACCTAGTTTCTTTTGGTTATTGGTTTCATTCACAGGGAAAGCAGTAAGTACACTGGTTGATAGTTGATAGTTATCTGTGCATGCTGTACCTCAGGGGGGAAAGATACTAAACAAGTTGCTTGATGATGAGGTTTTCGACTGAAATGGTTTGAACATATGTGTACGGCGCATGCTAAGCCATTGCCACCTTCATTGACGTGCCATGCTAGAGAGGGAAAGTTGGATTAGATTCGGAGAGAGTTTAAGGGTGGGCAAACCAAGTCCTAGCAACAGCTAAAGCTTGAAATTGTTTATTCTCTGTCTCTTTTTGAGCATCTGAGCGAACGCAGACTGACCTATGACTGTAAAGATGACAATTTATTCAACACAAAATGTTCATCTTTAATCTACAACAATTTTCATGAACATATAAAACTTCTAGGTCAAGACTGTAAATACTTTATTCTGATTGGTCAATTATACGATGAAATTGTCCAATAAGATTTTTTCTTGACCACACAGCATTATGAAACAAGAAAAAGGAAGAATGAGATTCGGTGGTGAGATTCAGTATAGGGCTTAAGGTGACATCGTTTCTGAGCCATGTGATCACCTAGAGTCAGTCTCTAACCACTGTTGGTTTCTCTTGTCCTGCCAACCCCAACTGGCTGGCTAGTCTGCATCGCCCCCACATCGCTCAAACCAATGATCAGAGACTTCATGCATTGGTGCCATATTTTACTCTGGTCGCTTATAGGCTTTTTCCAGCTTGAACCTACTTCGACCAACATTGTGTGATGAGGCGGACGGCGGACTAGGCATACAAAATGCATGTCCCAATCAGCCATCTCAGTTGATGAAGGTTAACAGCCATGTCAACTGACTTATTTCTACTCCCTAAAACTCTACACCTGGCATCTGGATTACTCACGTAGTGACACCATGGAATACGGCCTACACTACGAAGGCGGTGGTAGCCCAACACCTGAATTCTTCTCATCTCTTCCACTTTCGATGACTGTCTTTCGCAGCCAGCCATAGAGTAGAATAGAGTGAACTGTTGTGCGGTTCACGCCATCCTGGTTAGACAGTCGAATATCACGACGGCGCCACAGATGGTGTAAGTTGACGAAAGCCAACCAAGCCTTCTGTATTCGTGCAGAAATTTCGTCAGCCACTGATCCACTAGGACTCATCCTACTTCCCAGGTAAGTGAAGTGGTCAACACCCTCAACTATTGCACTCATTCCCCGTTGTTAGCTGAGGCACTGTTGAAGACCAATCCTGGAGCAACAATTTACATTTGGGTAATGAGGAACGCATCTCAAACATTCTCAAAGTGTTCGGAAGACTCTGCATCTTGTCAGCTTCTTCACCTAACCTGACTATGTCATGTGTGTATTCTAGGTCTAACGAAAATTCCCCTGTGATTAAGTCAACGTCTGCGTAACCCCGTGACGAGAGCGAGACCTCCATAAGAATATCTATGATGAAATTGAATCAGAATAGAGAGAGTAGGCAGCCTTGAGAGACAGCTTGATGAGTACAGCTCTGTTGTTAACCTTTTTCCCACAGTTTCCTTAATAAGTATAAATAACCTTCTACTGTTACCAATCGCCGCTGCCTTTTCCATCTCTTTAGCCTTCGCTGCCCACGACTGTTTGCGGTCGTTGCGTAGACATTTTCGCTATCTACTTTTAAAATAGCCGTTGCATAGCTTTGCATTAATTGTCAAGACAAAGTCGATGGTCTATGATTTCACCAGTGAATAACTGATGCAGGTTTAAATCTTGAAGATAGTATGAGTTTCTTCACGGTTCCGTACATATGTCTTGCTGATGAGTGTCGCGAACAACGAAACCTTGCTGACCGCAAACGTATAAGGTTATCTATAGGGTATTACAATTGTGTATCACTTACAAATCTAATTGGAAATAGAAACCCACTCATTAACCTTGACCATGTTAGTGCAGTGTAAGCACTACTTGGCCGGTAAACGTTTAATAGACGGAACTGGGTTCGAACCCGTGACCCATCGTTCGAATCTGCTTCAGCTCTAGTTTTACAGTTACATTATCGATTTATTCCTCCAACTTTGACCACCAGCACTATGTATGTGTTTTCAAAATTTTGTTATCGGTCAATTTCACCAACCATATCACAAAAAGTCCACTGATTCTCATCGTCATGGGGATCTCAGTCATGTGATCGATATCTCCCTCATACGGCTCAGACCAGCAGTCAGTGACTTTATCGACTGTTACCACATTGTGGCGTTTTCATCATCAACTATCTTTCCATATAATCCAACATGTCGTAGCATCGAATATTGAGATATTTGGCGGTGGCTTGGCATACGCAGTACATTACTCACATGATAGTTCCATCATTACATGAGCAATGCTTTAGGGATGTTTATCATGTAGCCTCTTAATGTCTTCTACTTTCAATGACCTTTTGTATTCTCCCCTACCTTCACCCCTTAGAGATTTCGTCAACAACTAATAACCGAGTAACTGGTGTCAGTACATTCCCATCACTTTTTCCTACTCTCTCCTTAAACTGAAAGGTGGTACATATCACTCCTGTGAAGTCTTATCATTTTACGTTTGACATTTTGTCCAATGCATTCAAGGAACTCGACTAACAGAACTATGTCATTTATCCATTTCAAGTTAGATATATACTGTCTAGGAAGTCAGTCAGTCTGTGAGAAGTTAAAACAATATTGGGTTACATCCTGAAGTACAGGCAGGACAGGTTATCTTCATTTCTATCCAATAGTACTTGAAGGCGATATATCATTCTCTAAAGAGCTGGGTCAATTGAATATGTCTGATGAATTCATGGTACCATTTGTAGTCTGCTCATTGTTAACATACATACCAATGGATGAAATGGTAGACATAATCTGTCAACAGTCTGATCTATGATCATTGTCGAAGAGAACTGAAAGGATTACTACTTCTCTGTATAGATGATGATCCATTTCAGTTAAATAATCAACTTTACTGATAAAATGAGAAACTTAAAGGAAGTAGCCTCTTTCACCTATCTAGACAGCATCGTTTCAACTTCAGGGCGGCACAGGCACAGACAACGACGTCGAAGCCAGCCAGGATCGGAAAGACAGCAAGACAGGCGTTCATTGCCCTAAAACCAGTGTGAAGATCTACTGCACTGCGCTCGGCATGTGAAACAAGATCCGAATTTTCAACAATAATGTGAAGTCATTGCTTCTATATGGTTGAGAGACTTGGGATTTCCAACAAACTACAGATATTCATCAACAACTGCCTATGCTCGTTCCTGAAGCTCAGATAGCCAAAAAGAATAAGCAACAAGGAACTCTGGCAACGAACGAAGCAAGAACCTATAGCTTAACAAATATGGAGAAGAAAGTGGAGATAGATTAGGCATACACTGAAAAGACCACTTGGGGACATCACGTGCCAGGCCAGTCCCTCGAGTGGAACCCAGGTGGGAAACGACGAGTTGGGCGTCTGAGGTGGGGGTGACATGGAGGAGAAGATGGTGTGAGGAAGAAATAAGAGCTTTTGAGCAGTGGTGCAGCCAGGTTGAAAAGGTTGCAGGGAACAGAGTGGAATAGAGACGTGTTATTGAAGCCCTATGTCCCACTGGGAACCCAAGGGACAAATACTAATAATTATCTCAAGTATCAATCATATTCGGTTGTAGATAATGGTGGACATTCTGAAAGATTTTCCCATTTAATCATCTTTTAATCCCTTCAACTGTTTTAAGAAAAAATGAGGATAATCATTCGATTTTTGAAAGAATCATAAACATTCATGATGTCATATAGATCCATTTGTGTGGAAATTTTATTCACCGATCGTTATCCAACAGGAAATTATCTTTGGTGATTGAATTGAATGATTGGTCAAGTGTTAGTTGGTGGCATATTTGGGCTTGTATGCGTAGATTGCCGGTATTCTCACTTCTTGATATGATTGTGGGGGATACACAACACTCGAATTCCTATCTAGTTAGGATTCAGTCGTCAGACTTCATATATATACCTGAAGTGGATCACATATTCACTGACGGTTTCCTATGATGACTAGGAAAGTAGACAAAGTTAGTCATAAAGCCTAAACAAACACTTCAAGGGAACTGTTGATAAGGTAATTGATTGATGAAACAATCAAGAAATTGACAACTAGCCTATATGTACGCCCTATGGAAAATTCATAAGTCCAATGTTCCCTTCATATCAATTTTGTTCATGATAAATTCACTTTGTTATAAATTGGAATCCATCAGAAAAAGGTTGACAAAGGCGACATTTCAATTCTCTAGAGAACTGGGTGAATTGAATATATCTCTGATGAAATAATTTGTCAACAGTCTGATCTATGATCATTGTGGAAGAGAACTGAAAGGCTTACTACTTTTCTGTATAGATGATCATCTGTTCCAGTTAAATAATCAATAAACTGATGGAATGGTTATTGGCCTCATCATTAGAACTTATCCCAGCTGATATACATTCATATCTCATCTTGACTGGAGCAAGTCTGATGTCTTCAATCAAGGGAACAACATATTACTACACCAGATAGGTTGAGGATACATTCATCGTTATATGATAATATGGATCATGCATCTATCAAACTGATATGAATTAAGAATTTCCCAGTGGAATAGGAAAATGAGGATTGATTCAATTTCTTTTGGTGATGTGATGGTACAGTTGTGAAATACACTTGGAGTTTCGTCAATTCCCCCCTTCCTTCCTTCCTTCCTTCATTATACAACACTTTCTATCAACTCAACCATTACCATGATCTAGTCAACATGGTATTCACTAGAAATAAGAAGACTTTTATAGGGAATAGATATCTGAAGACCCTGAACGTCCAATTGTTGGCAAAAAGTCTGTTTCTCTTTCATCAAGTATTCTAAGGTGAAAATAGACAAATATCCATCTCATATCATCTCCAATTGTTTACATGAATTCATCTGTGCTTGTGGAAGCAAGTACATGAAATAGATCAAAAGAAGGGTTGATATTCCAAGAAATCTATGTCTGAATGATCGCCTGCCACCTGATAGAAACAAGACATCAAGTAGATGTTTCTCACTTCTTCAGGATAATCAACAACCAGTCCATAACATGTTGATTACAGTTTGTCGAGTGATACAAAGCACAACACCTGGATGAGGCAGAGCTTCTTGCCAATTGCCTCCAACCAACTAATATCTACTAATGTGCACCGCAATGCTAAGCTTTTTAGCTTGGTTGCCACATTGCGAATATAATCAATAGAATTCGGTCTACACTCAGGACTAGACAAGATGAAATTGGTTTCACTCCTGTGATCAATCAATATATGTAAGCCAGTCATACAGAAGGTCAATCGTGGCCCGAATAGCTCAGTGTTAAAGTCACTGACTAAAACACTGATTGATGCAGGATCGAATCTCAGGCAGGACATCAGTTTCGTTGAGGTTGATTATACGCCTTGGTGACGAGTGCTAAAACGCACGAAACCTAGGTCGAGCAGGGCTTCCTGCCGATTGCCCGCATCCAACTTACAGTTTCTCAAAGCTCTGACCATCAAATATCTTCACCCTGATCGGTGTACTCAGCAGGTGACTGTAAACCACCTTTTGATTACATCATCTCTTCATCAAGAACTTACTGACTTGACGACTTTCCAATTTCTTCATGTAATTACATAACCGCCTAGCTCTTAAACAGCTCCTTCTTTTACACTGATGTTTACTTGTTGTCCCACCCTGCACTCCCCCCCCCCCCCTCCTCATCAACTCCATAACCCCAAAATTTTCTGTCTCATCAGATTGATTTTGACTAAGATTCGTAATTACTACTCGAGTATTTCCTTGACTCTCTTCCTCATTCACTACGACATTAGTGGTAATCCTACCACTCTTACTATTACTAATACTTCATGTCAATTGTAGACTATTTACGGCTGATGAAAAGCGGTAAAATAAAATCAACTGGTATTTTATTCTACAAATATATTTTTACTCTTGTATTATTTCAAATTTTGTCAAGGCAATTAGATGTATAACATTTTATTTGAGTAATTATTAAAACTTGCCAAAAAAAATAAGTACTGATCCCGGGTGAACTAGAAAATTTGAACCGTGGTCGGACTCGAACCAGCGATCACTGTGGTCTCGACTTTTATTGACTGTGAAACTCTGTTTTCCAAACAAAAATCAATTGATATTAATATATCCCTTGAATACACTGTTGTGGGATATAATTGCATATTAGATATATTTTTTTGATAATCCATAAACCTGGCGCAACAGTAAAAATCAGCTTAGCAACAGGTGAAATAACCAGCCAATCAGGTTTCAGTGTCTAATTGGAGGAAATCAGCGTCCTTGCATAATCGACAGAGAGCTGATTGGTTGTCTCAGCAGATGACTGAATGACCTTAAAGAGTCATTCAGTGATCGGTTAGGGAAAATTTAAGATTTCAGATAACCAATCAGAAGTCTTTATTTTGTGACAGCCTACCTTTCCAGTCAAAATAGAAAAAAGCTGATTGGCTATTTCATTTACTGTTAGGGTAGCCTCCAAGGTCATACATACACTTCGCCAAGGTCACACAATCCTCGAAACTTTTAACGTATGAAATGTTGATTAAATGTCTGAAATGCCCCAATGTTGTAAACTTAACGAAAAACTGATGGTGATAATCGTTAAAGTCTGTATGATAGTAGTTAACAGTCAAACTCCAGATATCCGTTTCGTCCTCTCTCTACCTCATCAGTGAATGATGGTAATCCCTTCAGAGCATTAGTCACTAAGCTTCACGAATTTCATTGCTAACCATCAGTCACAAGTAAGTAGACTATAATAGAACTTCATGTAGAAAGATTACATCCTATAAAGATGATTCATATACACCCAGAGAGGTATAGATTCGATCAAATTGATCACTACGTGAGTAATAACTCAGTCAAGCGTTTATAAGGATTTGTTGACTTCAAAGTACTTTCTATATCATCGACTGACAACAACTGAAGGACCATATGAAACGTTGGTAGACCCGGGGTAGACCATTCAGCAGGAAAGACCCATTACCCTATGATAATAATTTAAACCTTGGGATACACTGTTGTGGGATGTAATTGCATATTAGATATATTTTTTTGATAATCCATAAACCTGGCGCAACATTAAAAATCAGCTTAGCAACAGGTGAAATAACCAGCCAATCAGGTTTCAGTGTCTCATTGGAGGAAATCAGTGTCCTTGCATAAACGACAGAGAGCTGATTGGTTGTCTCAGCAGATGACTGAATGACCTTAAAGAGTCATTCAGTGACCGATTAGGGAAATTTTAAGATTTCAGAAAGTGAGATAACCAATCAGAAGTCTTTATTTTGTGACAGCCTACCTTTCCAGTCAAAATAGAAAAAAGCTGATTGGCTATTTCAATTACTGTTAGGGTAGCCTCCAAGGTCATACATACACTTCGCCAAGGTCACACAATCCTCAAAACTTTTAAAGTACGAAATGTTGATTAAATGTGAAATAACCAATCAAAGGTCAAAAGAGAAGAAAAAGCTGGCTGGAATGGTACTTTTCCCTTAGAATGTAGTTCGCTTCTCTTTTCGTTGTTGTTGTTGTAGCTATGGTGGTGGGGGTGGTGGTTGAAATCGCATCTGTTGTGTTGATATATACAAGTTTTCTTTTTGTTTTATTTTTTCCTCATTTTATTTCATAGATCTTATCCTTATCGTCTTCAGTCAACATATGATCTGAATAACTTTGCTATCGCAAATATTTCTGCTATAGATCGTCGTCCAATCCCACCGAATACATTTAAACTGTTAGTATTCCCTACTAATCGTCTATTTCAAGCAGAAACAGCTAGTGATCAGGTCAGTTTAAAACTGTTATTGTTTTTTGTTTGTTGGGATTATTTCACTCCTGCCCCCCTTAGATTAAGGGTCGGTCACGTATGCTGCGAATAAGCAGTGACCCTGGTGATGGCTCACAGTCTTGTAAATTCGCATTGCTAAGGAGTTTAATTCCTTGACTGATTGGATATCTCTGTGATTGGTTTATTGACTGACGAAATCTTGATTAGCTTTCACCAACCGACGCCATCTGTGTGTATCACCGCTGCGATATCTGATCTCCCGTTAACCGTTCGAGTATAGCTGTGAAACATGACTATGATTAAAGGTGTTTGATCATATGTCATCATGTTAACAGTAATGTTGAATTCGGATGTAGAGTTTTAGAGAGGAAACTCAGTTGATGGAGTTTGTGAACCTTTATCAGCTGAGATGGCTGGGACATGTGTTACGCATGCCTAGTTACCGTTCGGTTAGTCGCATTTGAGGTAGTCAGACTAAGACATGACGTCAGACTGTTAGTTTAAGCTATGTTAAAAGATACAGAATAGCCTAATGAAGTCCAGGTGACGATAAAAGTTCCCTTAGATTGGAGAATCTAGGTGATGATATGACCACCGCTATGCTAAATTCAGCGTTTTCTCATGGTACCTAGACCAAGTAGTGTCTTTCACCTACCTCGGCAGCATCGTTTCAACTACAGGTGGCAGCACAGATGGGGACGTCAAAGCCAGAATCGGAAAGACAACAAGACAGATCACGCTTCATGAATCTGAAACCAGTGTGGAGATCTTCTACACTGCACTCAGCATAAAGCGTGAACAATATCCGGATTTCCAACACTGACTCAGTCACGTCACGAAAAGCATTTCCAACAAACTGTAGACATATATAAACAGCTGCCACCTACGCTCTTTCGATACTGAAGATCAGATGGCCAGAAAGAATAAGCAAGAAGGAACTCTAGCTGGCTGGCAACGAACCAACTAAGAAGCTATTGTCTGACAAATATTCAGTCGAATAAAGTGGAGATTGGTTGGATTGGACATACACAGAGAGGATGGTTTAGGGACATCACGCTCCAGGCCAGGAAGCCAAATGGGAAAGGACAAGTTAGGTGTCGAAGTGTGATATGGAAGAGATTGTTAGACGAAGAAATGAAAGGTTATGGACAATCGTGGAGGTAGAAGACTGCAGAGAAGATAATCAAATAGTGACGTGTTACTGAAGCTCTCTATACTCCACTAGGGACCTAAGTGACAAATAATAATAATGATAATAGTAATAATAATGATCCTTCTTCTCCTTCTCTCTCTTCATTTTACCATCTGACTATTTTGTCACTCAATGTGATCGATGTATAAGGTGTAGTATAGCAACTTTGTTCTTCTCAGCCAATATACATGTAAAATCATCATAACGGTAGTAAACCTTCAGAATTCTCATCAGTTGTATTGCACCTCTTTAGTGTTTGAAGTAATGGGTACGAGGTTCAACTTTTAATAGAAGGGTGTGAGGGGGGTGGAGTTGTTACTTGTTCGTGATATCAAGATTGAATGATTATAAGAAGTGAGTTATGTAATACTTTCAGATTGTTCAGTTTAGTTGTCAAGGTTGTTTTTTTTGATACTGAACTTCCATATGATGCGTTACTATTGATTAACTGTTCAATCATAACTTCTCATCTCAATCTAACCTTATTGAGATAAGGGTTGGGAGGAGCCAATGGTAGGACATCACTATTCCACTCTCTTCTCTGACTCCACAACTGCTCAAAAGCTTTTTATTTCTTCCTCCATGTCATTCTCGGATGCCCAACTCATTGTTTCTTCTTTGAATTCCACTTGAGGGCCTGGTCCATGATGTCTCCGAGTTGTTTTCTCAGTGTATACCCAATCCATCTCCACTTGCTTCTGCATGTTTGTTGAATGATAAGTTTTGGTTGGTTCGTTCCGAGAGTTCCTTTTTGCTTATTCTTTCTGGTCACCTGACCTTCAGCATCGAGCGTAGGCAGCTGTTGACTTGACTCAGTCAGTGTTGAAAATCTGCATATTTTTTCATGTTTTATTCTGAGTGCAGTGCAGTAGATCTCCACATTGATTTCAGATTTATGAAGGGTGATCTATCTTACTGTTTTTCTCATCCTGGCTTTGACGTCCTCATCTGTGCTGCTTATACTAGTTAACACAGTGTTTCCTAGGTAGATAGATGAGTGAATAAGACAACTTCCTTTAGTTTTCTCTCATTGATAGTGATTGGTGCTTATTGTTGTTGTTGTTGTTGTTGGTTGGGTATGTTCATCACCTGTATCTTCTCCACTTTCACTTGAAAGAAGCCCCGTCTTCCATCGCTGCGTCGCTTCTTCTCTCAACTTGTTAGCTTTCGCCTATAGATCTTGGAGTGTGTGTGACATAAATCATTAGGCATAAATCATCTTCGGCGAAATTCAAATCTTCTGTAGTCTTTTTATTGGTCAAACGGCATTTTACCCCCCCTTCTCGCTGCTCATAGTTGTTTACTGCATGATCGTAGTCCAGCGCAGTTCAGTCGACCACAATGAGGAAGATGATCGGTGATAATAGACAACAACTTTGTGTTACCGCTGTCTCCACTGTGAATCACTTGACATGTAGCGTCGTCATATAGTATATAAGTGGTGTTGAATGAGGTTGATGACAGTTTGTGACAGTAAAACCGTAGTGTTAAAGCAGGTGCTGAATTACTTGTCGGTGAACGCCTGAATTGAAGGCCTTTTCAAAGTCAATGACGTTGATAGTTGATTGTCAGTGTATGCTCTGTTCTATTATAATGCGTAGCGAAGCGTTCCAGTTTAATTCGTATATGATTTATTTTTCCTGAAGTCAGGTTGTTCCGGTTGTAATTTTGAGTCGAGAGGATATTTTTTATCTCTCCAGGATAATGTGGCCTAATATTTAGCCTAGTATGGAAAGGAGCATGATTTCTCACCAGTTCTTTTAAAGACTTAGGTTACCCTTCTTTGGGAGTTTGACATGGTAGTGCTTGGATCATATTTCTTCTGGACGTACATAGGTTCAGTTTTCTTACGTTGATCTTTACGGCTTCAGATTTGGATAAAATGTAAAATTGTTCAAAGCGTGATTTACACCTTGATCTGATGTTTGATATTTACTAGATATGAGAAGATACTCTTTGTCATTCCTTTCCCTAATCAAGATGGTAGATGTTTACGAGCGCGTTTGGATTGCGCACCTTGAGTACAACCTATGTAACTAGATGCATTGAAGCACTTCAACTCATCAATGTACCATTGAAGTGACCATCACAGGTTCACTGTGTCAGTAATGGTCCAGACCAGTTCAGTCGACTATAATGAGGAAGATCATCAGTGATAGTAGGCAGCAACCTTGTCTTACTCTTGTCTTCACTTCACTTCGAAGTCATCACTGAGCTTTCCATTGTGAATCACTTAACATGTAGCGTCGTCGTATAGCATATAGGTGGTGTTGAATGAGGTTGATGACAGTTTGTGACAGTAAAACCGTAGTGTTAAAGCAGGTGCTGAATTACTTGTCGGTTGACACCTGAATCGAAGACCTTTTCAAAGTCAATGAAGTTTAGGTTCTACGCTCTTCTCTATTATGATGCATAGCGTAGTGTTGCAGTTTGATTCGTACATGCAGAGAAGTAGTTGAACCCATCAATGTACCATTGAAGTGACTATCACAGGTTCACTGTGTCAATAATAGTTTGGTTAAGAAGCTGATAAATTGCTTTCGCTGCATTCAATATCCTTTCAATCAATCTATATAATCATTGTGTTAAGATATTGAAGACAATATCACCTTGGTAACTTAGTCTATGATATATAGGCAACTTAGCAACATTTCTTCTACAATATAGTCATCATAGTATATACCTTTCTTATTCTGTAACTTAAGCATTTGACCAGGTTTCTTTTTTACATTGAATCGAAAGTGAGTCTATTGATTATTTCATATGTTCTTCTGGGATAACTGAAACCAATGTATTGGATGCGTTCATGTAAATTAGAGCTTTAGAATAAATTCCTACCGCCGCCGCCGCCGCCGTCGCCGTCCCCCGCCCTTCCAAATTCAATTGATATTATACTCATTAATGATTAGATAGATAATTCTTGAAGTTGCAATAAGAAAGTTGTCACGAGTGTAGTCAACAATGTTGATGGATGGATGTCTCACTATGTTGTAAACTATAAATTATAGAATCCCACCGACCTAGTCAGAACTCAATATTGTTCAGAGAGAAGCTGGTACATGCGGCTGATAAGTCCAGAATAGGCCGAAACACGCATCCTACATTCCACTGTTAACCATTATCTACCATGAGTTGCATCATTTGACTACATAGAAATTGACGTAATCGTAGGAGAATTTTCGTCAGACGACATAGTCCTGTTAAGAGAAAACGCTGAGAAGATACAGAGTCTTCTGAATACATTGAGTGACAATTTTAGAATGTTCGGATTGCTTTTCTCATCAGTCAAATGCAAATTCTTGGTGCGCGATTGGTCTTCAACGGTGCCTCGGCTAACAACACAAAATGAGTGTAGAAGTTGAGTGTGTTGATCACTTCACTTACCTGGGAAGTGCGATCAGCTCTAGTGGATCAGTAGCTGACGAAATTTCTGCACGAATATAGAATCCTTGATTGGCTTTTGCCAACTTACACCATCTGTGATGCCGCAGTGATATCTGATTGTCGATTAAGGATCACGTGTACTGCACAACAGAAGGCCGACTGGGGACATCACGCGTCAGGCTCTCGAGTGGAACCCCGATGGGAAGATACGAGTTGGGCGTCCAAAGGTGACATGGAGGAAATCGTGCGAGGAGGAAATGAGAGCTTGTGGGCTGTCGTGAAGCCAGGTTCAAAAGATTTCAGAGAACAGAGCGCATCGGAGACGTGCTACTGAAGCCCCATGTTTCATTATGAACCGAAGGGACAAATAATAATAATAATATGTACTACACAACAGTCCACTCTGTTCTACTCTATGGCTGAATAGGAAACATGGCCATTTAAGGTGGAAGACAGGAGAAGGCTTCAGGTGTTTGACCACCATCGCCTTTGTAGTATAGACCGTATTCCGTAGTGCCACCACGTGAGTAGCACAGAAGTCAGTTGATGAGGTTGTTAACCTATATCGACTGAGATGCCTGGCTGGCTCGGACATGTGTTATGTATGCATAATCCACTGTGTGCCTCTTCACACAATGTTGAGTGAAGTAGGTTGAGGTTGGAAAAAGGCAGAAAGGGTCGACTAGACTAAAACATGACATCAATGTATGAAGTATTTGACTATTGGTGTGAATTATGTGGGGGCGATGCAGACTAGTCAGCCAGTTGGGGTCTTCAGGACAAGGGATACCAACAGTGATTAGAGATTGTAATTGATGATATAGCTCAGAAGTGATGCCAGTAGCATGCAATAAGTAATGCCTTGGATAGATTCATCGATCTGATGAATTAATGTATGTATGTATGTATGTATGTGTGTGTGTGTATGTATGTATGTATGTATGTATGTATGTATGTATGTATGTATGTATGTATGTATGTATGTATGTATGTATGTATGTATGTATGCATGTATGTATGTACGTATGTATGTATGTATGTATGTATGTATGTATGTATGTATGTATGTATGTATGTATGTATGTATGTATGTATGTATGTATGTATGTATGTATGTATGTATGTATGTATGTATGTATGTATGTATGTATGTATGTATGTATGCATGTATGTATGTATGTATGTATGTATGTATGTATGTATGTATGTATGTATGTATGTGTGTGTGTGTATCGGGTAAATAGTAAATTGTTTATTTATCTTTTTTTAGAAACATTGGTTAACTCTACTTGATGAAACAATGCGTAAACATCGAAATTCTCAATCATATATACCATCGAATATAAGATTTGATCCACGTCTATCTACAACAAATTCAATTGGTACCTTAGATACAAATGTTATGAAATTGACTATGCTACCACCAAAAGTATCTGCTGAAGCTACATTAGCTGGACATAAAGCATTATCATCTACTTTACCTGATTGTGTTGATCTTTTAACCCCTGTTGATCAATTAGATTTATCTAGTAAAAAGAATCCATTTGATGATTCCCCTGATGGTAAGTTTAACTTATTCCCTAATTCAATTGTCTACAGAGGAATCCATTCAAAGTGGATTATATATTTCATGTTAGTTGAGACTTATTCATCAACTAGGATCCACCTTCCTTCATATTTTATTAAACATGACTACCTATAAGCTTTCATTTCTTCGTTAAACCATCTCTTCCTCTATGTCATCCTCGGATAGCCAACTAGCCGTTTCCCAGTTAACTTCGACTCGATGGGCTGGCCTGACATGTAATTTCTCTAGACGATCTTCTCAGTATATGCCTAATCCATCTCCATTTTTTTCTACTGCATATTTGTTGGACGATAGGTGGTTGGTTGTTGGTTGATTAATTGCCAGGCCAGTGTTCTTTGTTGCCTATGCCTATTATTTTAGCCATCTGATTATCAGTATCGAATGAGGATAGGCATTAGTTGTTCATGTATGTTTACAGTTTGTTGGAAATGCTTTTCGTAACGTGCTGAGTCTCTCAAACGTCATATAGAACTACTGATTTAGTGTTGAATATCTGGATCTTGTTACTTATACTGTATGTAGCACAGTAGATGTCCAGATTGATTTCAGATTAATAAAGGCCTGCATTTCGTTGCTTCCTCGATCACCTGAAGGAAGTCCCGTCTTCCATCGCTGCGTCGTCTCTTCTTTCAACTTGTTAGTTTTCACCTGTTGATCTTCCAGTTTGTTTAACAAGTCATTAGACATGAATCATCATCGGCGAAGTCCAAATCTTCTCCTGAGGTGTTTTCATCGATGCAGCCAGCTTTATCCCCATCTTCTTTCTTCTAACAGTTGTTTGCTGCATAATCCTAGTCCAGCGCAGTTCAGTCGACCACAGTATGGAAAATCATCGGTGGTAGTAGACAGCAGCCTTGTTTTACTCGTGTCTTCACTTCATTTCAAAGTCGTCACTGAGCTTTGCATTGTGAATCATATAGCATATAAGTGGTGTTGAATGAGGTTGATGACGTTTTGTGACAGTAAAACCGTAGTATTGAAGCAGGTGCCGAATTACTTGTCGGTCGACGCTGTCGAAGGACTTTTCGAAATCGATGTAGTTGATAGAGAAGAGATCTAGTTGACTGCCATTCTATACTGATGCATAGCGTAGTGTTTCAGTTTGATTCGGACATGATTTGTTCTTTCTGAATCTGGTCAGGCAGCCTATTGTGGTGGTAATTTTGAATCCGGAGGATTTTTTTTGTCTCACAATATTTAACTCGCGGTGGACAGGAGCATCATTCCACTTTACTTAGGTCTCCCTTCTTTGGGAGTTTGACAAGATAGCCTTTGTTGCAATCAATTGGTGCCTTTCCTTCCTTCGAAACCTTCTGGAGTAGTGGTGTGAGCATGTCCGATGTCGTGTCTGTGTTTGTTTTCAGTACTTCTGGAGGAATTTCATCTAGTCTTGTTGCTTTCCCGGATTTCATCAACTTTATGACGTTTACAATTTCGGCTATTGTCGGAGGGCTTGTGTTCGCTGATAGTAGTCAGGCCATTGTTTCCTTTGTATCTCCTATTTAATGGTAACTATGTTTCCTTCACTATCTTTAATTGGTTTCGTCTGCGTTGATCTCTCCCCTCGGAGATAGTAACTTGGTTATTTGATATAATGTTGTCAGGTCACTGTTTCTCCTACCTCCAGCCTGTTCTGGTTCACTTGCCAATGTGTCGTAGAATAGTCTTCTAATAATACTCATGAATACTCACACGTCTTGGCATCAACAATTTCTTAAAGTTTACATATGCTTAGCATAGTTATTTGCGTGATCTATTGGTCTGACTAGTGAAATATCCAATGAGTATACTATGCTGTAGTTTATTCTCTCCTTTTATAAAGTTATGAGAACACATGAAAGTGGTTCAACGTCTTTTACTATGGATATGTTTATAACATTACTGACGGATGTAGTGTTGAGATGATGAAAGTTACCGCCAACTCCCTTCGATATAGCATGGTAGGGTTCAGAGAGTAGCCAAACAATGAGGTAGGATCAAGTTGTTTTTTCTCTAGTATCCACCTGTTCTTTGTATCCTACTGTGTGAAGTGTATATTGTAACTTGAGAGAATGAGTGGCGAATAAGCAGCTAGTGGATGGGTGGGAGGGATAATGATGCATATTAGAACTCTTTCAAGGTATGTTGATCTTCAAAAATTCTCATCTTTAAGTTGGATATCAAAACTTCATCTTCATAGTATTGCTTACTGTTATGGATTATTGTGATAATTATTCGAATGTAATAGCTTAGTAATGTACTAAACATGTATATGTATTGAGCTACCGTTAACTATCTTAATGTATTATGTTTTAGAGAAAAAAAAAGGGGGGAATTCGGTTAGTTGAAAAGAATTCAGAATAGTCAAGGCGAATTATATCACAAGTTGATGATTTTAGTTATCCTTATTATTATTATTATTATTGTTACTACTATTACGATTATTATTACCATTGTTATTGTTATCATCATTATTACTATGGTTATTATTACTACTAGTACCATTATCGTTATTATTATTATTATTACTATGATTATCATTACTATTATTGTTACTATTATCATTATTACTACGATTGTTAATATCACTATCATTAGTATTACCATGATCATTATTACTATGGTTATTATTACTATTATTGTGACTATTATTACCTTTATTATTGCCGCTATTATCATTACTATGATTATTATTATTACTATCACGGTTACTGTTGTTATCATTACTTTTATTATCGTCACTATGATTATTATTGCTATGATTGTCACTACTATTATTGTTACTATTCTTATTATTACTTTTGTTATTGTCAGCATCATTATTATTACCATTATCATCATTACTATGGTGATAATTACTTGGATTATTATTGCTTTCATTGTTGCGACTATCATTATTATAACTTTTGTTATTGTCACCATTAATATTACTACTTTTATTGTTGTTGCTATTATTATTATTATTATTATTATTATTACTATTACTATGGTTACTACTACTGTCATCGCTACTACTGTTACTATTACTATTGTTAACATTATCATGACTACGATTATTATTACTATTATTATTAATATCATTAATGCTTTTATTATTGTCACCGTTGTTATTGTCATTATCATTACTGTGATTATTATCACTATTATCATTATTACTATGATTACCACTATCATTATTATTACTGTGGTTATTATTACTATGATTACCGCTATTATTATTATTACTATCATTATTATTACTATTATTATCATTACTGTGATTATTATCACTCTTATTATTATTACTATTATTATTACTATGATTGTTACCACTATTATTGTCATTAGTATGATTATTATTGCCATGATTACCACTATTATTATTATTGCTATGATTGTTATCAGTATTATTATCATTACAACGATTATTATCACTCTTATTATTATCACTGTGATTGTCATCACTATTATTATTATTATTATTACTGTGACTATTATTACTATGATTATTATTGCCATGGTTACCGCTATTATTATTATTATTACTGATTATTATTACTATTATTGTTACTATCACTATTATTACCATGGTTGTTATCACTTTTATTATTGTTACTCTTATTATTATTACTACCATGGTTATTATTACTCCTATTATTATTACTATGATGATGACTAGCATTATTGTCATTATGATTACCATTAGTATTATTCATATTTTAGGTGGAAAATATCAATCAAGTAAAGTTGGTAAGCATAAATCACGTCATAATTGGTTATGGGATGTACCAGAAGATTTAGATGTAGCTATATCAGAAAGAAATTTTCAACGTGCTACTAATTTAATTGTTAAAGCAAAACAATCATTAAATCAAATTATTACAGAGAATATATCAAACCATCAATGGATATAGATAAGCGAATAACAACAACACCAACACCAACAACAACAACACCACCAACAACAACATCAGGAATATCTTCATTGAATCATCGACAAATTCAACAATCTGATAAGATAATTGATTATCGATTAAGAACAGATTGGGAGAAATTATCGAAACGTATTGAAAGGAATGAATATCATTTAACTGAAGCTTTACAATATGAATTAATATCATCTGCTTATAGACATGGTATGTACAACTTATAATAATAATAATAATAATAATGATTATTATTATTTATCCCTTGAAGGTTGCCTACTATCCCTCATGATATTCCTGATTGTGGTCGACTGGATCATGCAGCAAACAGTGGGGAGTGAGAAGATAGGGATACACTGGACTGTGGAAAAGAACCTAGAAGACTTGGATTTCGCCAGTGATGACTTGTGCCTGATGTCACATAAACTTGAAGATCTACAGGCAAAAACTAACAAGTTGACAGAAGAGGCAGCGAAGACGTGACTTCAAGTGAATATAGAGAAGACAGAAGTGATGAAGATACCGCACCACCACCACCACCAACAAACTCCAATCATCATCAACGGGAGAAACTTAAAGGAAGTAACCTCCTTCACCTATCTGGGAAGCACTGTTTCAACCAAAGGCGGCGATGGCACAGACGAGGATGTCAAGTCAGAGTCGGAAAAGCAAGACAGGCGTTCATTAGCCTGAAACCAGTGTGGAGATCTACTGCACTCAGCATGTGGAACAAGATCCGGATTTTCAACACCAATTCAGTCAAGTCAGTGCTTCTGTATGGCTGAGAGACTTGGCGCATTACGAAAGGGATTTCCAATAAACTACAGACATTCATCAACAACTGCCTACGCTATCTCGCTACTGAAGACCAGATGGATTGCCAGAAAGAATAAGCAACAAGGAACTCTGGGAACGAACTAACCAACGAGTTGTGCATCTGAGGCGAGGGTGACATGGAAGAGATAGTGTGAAGAATAAATGAGAGCTTCTGGGCTGTCATGGAGCCATGTTCAAAAGATCTCAGAGAATAGAGTGTAGTGGAGACGTGCTACTGAAGCCCTATGTTCCATTAGGAACCCAAGGGACTAATAATAATAATAATTTATCCCTTGGGTTCCTAGTGGGACGTATAGGGCTTCAGTAACACTCTGTTCTCTGTAGTCTTTAGAACCTGGCTCTACGACTATCCACAAGCTTTTATTTCTTCCTCACATCATCTCCTCCTCCATGTCACCCTCTGATGCCCAACTGGTCGTTTCTCCTTTGAATTTCACTCGATGGCCTGGAGCATAATGTTCCCAGTTGGCCTGTTCAGTGTATGCTCAATCCATTTTGGTTAGTACGTTGCAAGCCAGTCAGCTATAGTTCCTTGTTGCCTTTTCTTTCTGGCCATCTGATAATCATCTTCAATAACGAGCAAGCGTAGGCAGCAGCTATTGACGAATGTCTGTAGTTTGTTGGAAATGATTTTCGTGACACTCCAAGTTTCTCAACCATATAGCACCACAGACTTGACTGAATTGGTGTTGAAAATCCGGATGTTGTTCACGTTTTATGCTGAGTGCAGTAGATCTCCTGTCTTGTTGTCTTTCCGATTCTGGTTTTGACATCGTTGTCTGTGCCACTGCCTGAAGTTGAAACGATGCTGCCTAAATAGGTGAAAGAGGCTACTTCCTTTAGGTTTCTCTCGTTAATGGTGATTGGTGTTTGTTGTTGTTAGTCGGTTGGGTATCTTCATCACCACCATCTTCTGTACATTTACTTGAAGGAAATCCGGTTTTCGCTACCCTTCCTCTTTTGTCAAATTGTTAGTTTTTGCATGTACATCTTCGAGATTGTGCGATATTAGACATAAATCATCATTGGAGTGAAATCTAACTCTTCTTGGCTCTTTTTATCGGTCCAGCCAGCGTATACTCATCTTCTCCCAGTTCCTCACAGTTGTTTGTTACATGCTCCAGTCCAGTTGAGTGGACCGCAGTCACGACTAGATGACCAGTGGTAGTAGATAGCCTTATATGCAATTTAATTGATTAGACATTTAGATATACATATATTTAGTGAGGCGAGAAGAAGACTGTTTTCAACGAATTTCTTCTCAATCTGTTCACACAAAATGATAATTTCAATCGTGGATGGTCTATCATTATCCATCCAAGTTAACATAGGATCAGGCAATAACTGCGTAACGATCCGACTTGTCGCACCACATATTACTACATCAAGTAAACAAGACAATGAAATGAAAGATGAACAAAAGAAATATAAAGTACGGAAGGAGAGAAACGAATAATAAGATTCAGTATAGCGGTTAAGGTGACGTTGTTTCTGAGCGATATCGTTTAGAGTCAGTCTCCTCCACATAGCTCAAATCAACAGTCATCAACTTCATTCATCGATGCCATGGTTTAGTCTGGCTGCCTTTTTCAACCTGAACCTACTTTAGCCAACATTCTGTGACGCCGCAGACGGCGAATAGGCATTCGTAACACATGTCACAGCCAACCAGACATCTCAGTCGATGAAGGTTTACAACTGTATCAACTGACTTACCTCTTCTCTCTACCTAAAAAACTCTACACTTGACATCTCCGTTACTCACGTGGTAACACTACGGAATACCGTCTATAGTACGAAGGCGGTAGTGGTCGAACACCTGAAGCCTTCTCAACTCCTTCCACCTTCAATGGCCATGTTTCACAGCCATAAAGTTAGAACAGAGTGGACTGCTGTTCAGTACACGCGATTTTTAATACACAATCAGATAACCCATATCAATCACTTGCTTACAACTGGAATCTATGATGAAATCAATGACAATCCATCATTATCAAAGCTAACCAACTTGGTTACCAGTTGCAATTCAACACTCCATACTGTCGTACTTTCTCATTTCACTTCGTGATATCATGCAACCTGTCCATGTAATGTCTTCGTTAAGTAACTGTCTTCACATAAAACTTAATCTGCTCCACCGATCACGCTTTTTCATTACCACTTCAACCAATCAATCGACAATGTATTGTTATTTCACTACTCATAATCTCCCGTTGCTTTATACGACGTGTATTGATAGATGGGCTTGTATACGGACACCTTGATATTCATGTTGGTGAGTAGTAGAGTGTAATGGAGCAGGGACCCACTCGTCAACTGGATGTATCCATCGCTTTAGATGCCAAAGCGTTCATCATCCACTGGACTACTGAGCCGAGAGAGCTGCACCTCAGCGGGAACAATATCATCGACTGCGATACAATTACATCCAACTGACAAGTCCTCAGTAGGTCGAAAGACAAATCCTGTAGCTTCCATTGCTAGTAATCAAGATGAACAGTCTGGTTAATTAAAACGTACTTGTTTCACAACAGCTTAGTACAGAAATGCTAACAAGAGGAGATGAACCCCACAAATACTCATCATTCATTCGGTAACGGTGGTGAAACACCTTAAAACCTTCTCATCTCTTCAATGGCTATGTTTCACAGCCATAGATTAGAAGACAGTGGGCTGCTGTGTATCTTAGCCACCAAGACACGACTCCATTCGACTTCCCAGTAAGTGAGGTGGTCAACGCACTCAACCACTACACTCATTCTCTATTGTTAGCCGAGGTACCGCTGAAGACCAATCGTGGAGCAACAATTTGCATTTGGGTGGTGAGAAACGCATCCCAAACAGTCTCAAATTGCTACTCAAAGTGTTCAGAAGACTCTGCATCTTGTCAGCGTCTTTACTTAACAGGACTGACTATGTCATCTGCATATTCTAGGTGTAACGAAAATTCTCCTGTGATTAGGACAACGTCTGTGTAGCCTGGTGACGAGAGGGAGATCTCCATAAGAATATTTATGATAAAATTGAATAAGACAGTGGGCATCCTTGACGGATACCACTTCATGAGTATAGCTCTCTGGACATCTCATCATAGGCTGTAACATGCCCACAAGTGTTCGAGTAGAGAGCCTTCAATAAGGTGATGTGACTAATCGGCACGCCTTTCAATGAGAGAAATTGCCGTAAGGCTTCTTGATCAACGGCGTCAAATGCCGCCTTCAGGTCAAGAGAAAAGATTAACCCCAAACATTATACCCCATCTCCTGTCTTATCGTTTTCCAGTTCCGGTGGTATGGATTTTTCAACAATCCTCAAACGGCTGTTTATGTGACAGGCGTCAAGCAGATGTCTCTCATCGGATCTGTGGTCATATTCTTTTGTCTTTCAGCAGGCTCCAGAAAACCAGGCGGAATTTAGACCCAGCCGTGGGTGTATCGACGAAGTATTCACACTGTGCCAGGTCCTGGAACACAGACACGCTTACCGACGCCCGACACTAGCTGTATTTGTCGACCTGAAGGCCGCATGCGACTCCCGTTGATCGAGAAACCTTATGGCAATTTCTCTCACTGAAAGGCATGCCGATTAATCACATCACCTTATCGAGGGCTCTCTACTCGAACACTTGTTGGCGTGTTAGAGCCTATGATGAGATATCCAGAGAGCTAAGCTCATGAAGCGGTATCCGTCAAGGATGCCCACTGTCTTATTCAACTTTATCATAAATATTCTTATGGAGATCTCCCTCTCGTCACCAGGCTATACAGACGTTGTCCTAATCAAAGGAGAATTTTCGTTACACCTAGAATATGCAGATGACATAGTCAGTCCTGTTAGGTGAAGACGCAGTAATCCCCTTATCCTATACTAATATTGATGATGATGATCATAGACTGATGCCTCATTGAGTTCGAATATATAGTCACTTAACTACACCTTGTTTGTATTGGACAGAACAGAAACTGATGTTTCTGTAGATAAATAGTTTCATCAATCCATCTCACCATCGACTGATCAATACAAAATGAAACTTTCGATGGGAATGTATTGAAATAAAATGTCAGTTGCTTTGACTAAGGAAACATTAGTAACTAAGCGAGTTATCAGTTACCATCATAATATGAATAGCTTCGCTATAATGGGGATCTGAGTGCAAAGTTGTGCTGCTGCTAGCTGCATTGGGTGTCAAAGCAGTAAGGCATCTGTCTCTTTTAGATGACCAATAATAGTGTCAAGTTGATGCTGCCTTCCCATGAAGGAAGGGATATTGGCTTAGTAAAGGTCAGTCCTTAAATTTGGCACACTCCTATAACCCACCAGAGTTGATCCTACTTCCCAGGTAAGTGAGATGGTCAACATACTCAACCACTTCACTCTCTATTGTTAGCCGAGGTACCGTTGAAGACCAATCATGGAGCAACAATTTGCATTTGGGTGATGAGAAACTCATGTCAAACAGTCTCAAATTGCCACTCAAAGTGTTCAGAAGCCTCTGCACCTTATCAGCGTCTTCACTTAACAGGACTGACTATGTCATCTGTGTATTCTAGGTCTAACGAAATAATTCTCCTGGGATTAAGTGACGAGCGTGAGACCTCCATAAGAATATCTACGATAAGTGAGCATCATTGATGGACATCAGTCGATGAGCACAGCTCCTTGGACATCTCACTCATAATTTAAGTTAAATCTTCCTCATAGATTACAGCCTTTAAGTTGCGAGAGCTATACATATTGTGGTATGAATCGTATTCATTTCGTATCCTGTAAATCTTCCAAATACCCAATAAATTCAAAATATTGATACAGTGAACTGTTATGTAGTGTTAGTTATGTGCAGTAATGATGGGCAGTGGCTAGCAGTGGAATCCGGGATGCGTATGTCGTCTTATTTGAGACTCGTCAGCTGAATGCACCTGCCTCCTAGTGCGGAGTGATGCTGTCCCCACCGAAACTCAAACCTCATAGTCATCGTTTGAAGTGTCAAGACGTTATCCACTATACCACGGAGGATCGGCAGCCACTTTTTGTTCAACGGGTGATAGTTATTACTATGTATTTGACATACTTGTTATTCTCTGTTGGTTTTTTGTGTTGGATCGAATTGTTCGACGTGTATTAGCATATAGGCTGGTGTATGTGGATGCCTCGATAATGCTTGAATGTTAATCATAATAACTTGGTTGGTTGTGGCTAGGAGAATGTACGATACGCGTTTCGTCCTATTTGGTGGGACTTATCAACTGGATGTACCTACCTTCCAGTGTGGAGTGATGCTGTCCCCAGCGGGACTCGAACCTGGTAGGCATCGTTTGGAACACCAAAGTGTTATCTACTATGCTACAGAGGAACGACAGCCACTTCTTGTTCAACGGGTGATAGTTATTACTATGTATTTGACATACTTGTTATTCTCTGTTGGTTTTTTGTGTTGGATCGAATTGTTCGACGTGTATTAGCATATAGGCTGGTGTATGTGAATGCCTCGATAATGCTTGAATGTTAATTATGATAATTTGGTTGGTTGTGGCTAGGAGAAGAATGTAAGACACACATTTCGTCCTATTTGGTAGGACTTGTCAACTGGATGTACACCTGCCTCCCAGTGTGAAGTGATGTTGTTCCCAATGGGACTCGAACCTTGTAGACATCGGTACAAAAACACGATGGCATTATCCAATACACCACTTCATGTACATACATGTTATTCTTCATTGTTAGTTTTGTTGTATTGAATTGAATTGTTCCATGTCTTATTATTATTATTATTATTGTTGTTTGTTGTATAGGTGCTCCAAATACTGTCAAATCAATTATTAGTCAATTAGGTTTACTTGGTAAATCTTTACTTGCAGCTGAATTATTTCTTGTATATCGTTCACAAAGAATGAATAAATCATTAATACATAGTGTACATCAAGAAGGCAATCAATTAATTTATTTAAATAAATTATCATTAATATTTCATTGTAATTTAGCTGAAACATATATTGAATGGTATAATAGTGTTGTTCAACCATTGAATAGTATACTTATATCGAAAATGGATGGTATATCACAACAACAACAACAAAAACAACAACAAGAACAATTTGAAAATATTTGCTCTTTAAGTAAGTTATCATTTTTATTGATTTATTATTTGTCGCTGGAGGGGGTGAGGGTGCTGGATTGGTTAATGATCATCACTTTGTTCAGCTGGTTAAACCTAATCAGGTAAATCGGTGTTCAAACCTACAACCTACTTGGTTAAACATCCTCTCTCTGTGAATTAATGAACCACAGGCCTATATATGTGTATGTGTGTGTTAGGGCCTGGTTGCTCAGACCCATATAGAATTACACGGTGTTGTGCTACATTGATTATTATTTCATTTGTCCCTTGGGTTCCTAGTGGAACATAGGACTTCATTAGGAGATCTCCATTCTACTCTGTTCTCTGAAATCTTTGAACCTGGCTACACAAGCTCTCATTTCTTCCTCAAACTATCTCCTCCACGTCAACCTCAGGTGGGACGCCTGACTAGTCGTTTCCCACCAGGCTTCTACTCGAGTGGCTGACACATGATTTCCCCGAATTATCTTCTCATTACATACCGAATCCACATCCATTTCCTTATGCATAGTTATTGAGCGATAAGTTGTTGGTTGGTTGGTCACCAGCCAGCCAGAGTTCCTTGTTGCCTATCCTAATTATTCTGGCCATCTAATCCATCTTCAGTATGGAGGCAGCGTAGGCAGTTGTTGATGAATATCTGTAGTTTGTTGGGAATGCTCCTGGTGACGCTCCAAGTCTCTCAACCATCATATAGGGGCACTGACTTGACTGAATTAGTGTTGAAAATCTGGATGTTGTTCACGCTTTATGCATAGTGCAGTGCAATAGATCTCCACACTGGTTTCAGGTGAATGAAGGGTGGCCTGTCTTGCTGTGTTTCCGATGGTGGCTGGCTGGCTTTGACATCCTCGTGTGTGCCTGTGCCACCTGTAGTTGAAACGATGCTGCTTAGGAAGGTAGGTGAAAGATACTTGTTCCTTTATGTTTCTCCCGTTGATGGTGATTGGAGGTTGTTGTTGGTGGTGGTGGCGTTGGTTGAGTATCTTCATCATCTCTATCTTCTCTACATTCACTTGAAGTCTCATTTCCGCTACCCTACCTCTTCTGTAAAGTAAATCGGTGTTCAAACCTACGACCTACTTGGTTAAACATCCTCTCTCTGAACCAATGAACCACAGGTCTATATATGTGTATGCGTATGTCAGGGCCTGGTTGCTCAGACCGATATAGAATTACACGGTGTTATTCTATATTGATTATTATCATTATTTTAGAAGTAATATTCATCATGGACTAACAACAGTTGGGGAACCATTGAAAATCTGGCAGCACTGGACAGCTGTTTCGTCCTAGTGTGGGACTTTTCAGTAGTACGCATCCACGACCCGGCTAGGGATCGAACTCATTAGTGACTTGCTCCCAGATGGATGTCAGGAAAGGTCTAATGAGAAGTCATGACCTATAAGGCCAACCAGTCGGAAGTGAAGTGGATGCTAACTGAAGACCTTGGGTGACAGTCGTGCTATGTCGTGAATGGACAGACGTTCGACCCTTACCCGTGTCGTGGGTGCTTACTGCTGAGGTGTACCATGATAGGACGAAACAGCTGTCCAGTGCTCCCAGATTTTCAATTGTTCCCCAACTTATGTCAGTCCATGATGAATACTACTTCTAAATTAAAAAGTCCCCATTCATCTCAAAAATATTACTATTATTTCATTTGTCCCTTGGGTTCCTGGTGGAACATAGAACTTCAGTAGCACGTCTCTATTCATCTCTGTTCTCTGCAATCTTTTGAACCTCTCTCCACCATTGCCCTCAAGCTTTCGTTTCTTCCTCACACAATCTCCTCCATGTCACCCTCGCCTCAGACGCCCAACTCGTCGTTTCCCCATTGGATTCCACTGGAGTGCCTGGCGCGTTATGTCCCCAATCGGCCTTCTCAGTGTATGCCCAATCCATCTCTACTTTCTTCGAGTGCTTTTTAATTTGTTGGGTGATAGATTCTTGGATGGTTCGTTGCCAGCCAGAGTTCCTTGTTGTTTATTCGTATTATTCTGGCCATCTCATCTTCAGCAACGAGCGTAGGCAGTTGTTGATGAATGTCTGTAGTTTGTTGGAACTGTTGGAAGTTACACGCCAAGTTTCTGAACCATCACATAGAAGCACTGACTTAACTGAATTGGTGTTGAAAATCCGGATGTTGTCACGCTTTTTGCTGAGTGCAGTGCAGTAGATCTCCACATTGATTTCTCAGTAATGAAGGTCTGCCTTGCTTTTCCGGTCGTGGCTGGCCTTGACGTCCTCGTCTGTGCCTGTGCCGTCTGTAGGTAAAACGATGCTGCCTAGATCAGTGAAAGAGACTACTCCCCGAGGGGACCTGCGTGGAAGAACACTGGAACTCTTTGAAAAAGATGTGGAAGGAAACCTGCATAACTTTGTTAGGAAGAGGAAAGAAGGCGAGGAATAGATCTCGACGGACACCGGAAGCTGATGGAGCAGCAAGAAGAAGATGGTGTAGCACAAGATGAACCAGTGCACTGAAGGGATGAACAACGTAAAGAGGAACTGAACACAATCTATAGAACACTACACTGGATAAAGAAGTGAAGAAGAGTGCCCGCAAAGACAAAAGACACTTCCACGACACATTGGTAACTGAAACAGAACAGGCTGCAGGTAGGAGAGACAGAAACCTGACAACATTATATTAAATAACCAGGCTACTATCTGAGAAAAGATCAACTCAAATGAAACCAATGAAACATGATAGTAGAGAACACCTAGTTACCACCAAAGGGGAAGAATCAAGGAAAGGATGGGTTGACCACTTTAGAATCGACCACCGCCACCACCACCTGCAACTCGTCCAGAAATACCACCAGCAGCTCAGCCACACAACTATTAGTAAACACAAAGCCATAGTCCTGAAAGCTAAAAAGTTGCTGAAATCCGGGAAAGCACTAGGACGAGATGGAATTCCTCCAGCAGCACTCAAAACAAAGCCAAAGACAACAGAGGACATGCTCACACCGCACCACTATTGAAGAAGGTTGGAAGGAAGGAAAGTTACCTGCCGATTAGACAATGGGCTACCTTGTCAAACTCTCAAAGAAGGGAAACATAAGCCTTTGCAAGAACTGGCGCTGAACCATGCTCCTGTCCACCCCACCTACCTACCTACCTGCCTTCCTACCTAGACAGCATCGTTTCAACTACAGGTGGACGTCAAAGCCAGCCAGGATCGGAAAACCAGTGTGGAGATCTACCGTACTGTACTGCATTCATCATAAAGTGTGAACAACATCCGGATTTTCAACACTAAGTCAGTCAAGTCAGTGGCTCTATGTGATGGTATGGAGACTTGACGCGTTATAAAAAGCATTTCCAACAAACTACAAACATATATCATCAACAGCTGCTGCCTACGCCCACTCGATACTGAAGATCAGATGGCGAGAATAGTAAAAATAAGCAACAAGGAACTCTGGCCTGACAACTAACCAAGCAACCAAGGAGCTATCGCCCAAGAACTATACAAAAGAAGAAGGTTTAGTTGGATTTGATTAGATATACACTTAGAAGACTGTTTAGGGACATCATGATACACCAGGCCATCGATTGGAAGCCAAATGAGAAACGCCAAGTTGGTCATCCAACAATGACATAGAAGAGTAGATATTGTGATGAAGAAATGAAAGCTGATGACCGGTCGTGACGATGTTCTGCTGAAGCTCTGTGTTCCATTACAAACAATTTTGTATACCTTAAGTAATGATATTGTTGAGAAAGAAAGTGAAAGAAGGAATCAATCAATCATCTATTCTTTTCTCTATGATTTATTGGGCATGTTCGTCGTTTACATTGAGTAGTTAAGCAAAACTGTACAGGTTAATGTATAGATTTCGTATAACAGTCAAATTGGGGGTGATCTATGTATATCTGTGTTCACCATCTTACTCCATAGCGATGAAATGGCAAGATGTGGTCGGATAATCAGCTGTTCCATCAGCTGTATATTCGAACAAATTCATTTTCTGCATTTCTTTATCCTGTCTCTTATACTTTATCTTATGTTGTAGTTTTGCTGGTGTATTATCGAGCAGGTTACACTGTGTTGCAAAGGTTTTAATTTTCTATTCGACCGAAAGCAAATGTAAACTCCTCTCTCTCTCTCTCCCCCTTTCCCTCTCTAACACACCCACCCACAACTAGAGTTCTATAGCTGGGCATTGGAAGAAACAGAGAAATTCAGTCAACAACTTCGTGTTCTCCTTATCGATAGTCATGCTGTCTCCTTTTATTCAATGGCGTATGCTGCCCAGAGAATTAAGGCGCATGCTGATAAGGTAAGTTGTAGTAGGTTGATTGTTTTCACTTAATCATAATATATATATATATATTCAGAGATTATCCTGGAAACATTACAAATCCTTAATTCTGCGTATTTTACCCCAGTTTTCAGGTCAGCTACAATTTTCTTGACTAGAAACATCTTTTAACCAGAGTAATGTGTTAACATTCTCATGAAGAGGCTCAAACAATCATTTGACTTAACCGTACCGTGTAAAGCGTCTTCACATTGCCACACTGGCGCGTAGCTGTCTTGAGGCGTTTGGTTCCCGTGAAAGAGTCATAGTTACTCTTATCTAGGTGTTATGATAACCATGACAAAGAAAAAGGTTGAACGCACATTTTTTGCGGATGTATAATGCTGAGTGGTTCAGGTATACCCAAACGCCTTGGTTTCATTGTCCCTTGAAGTCGTTTGATTGAAGCGTGTACAGGAATTCAAATGACCTCAACAAGAGGTAAAAGGGGCCTAAGTTCAATGGAAACCAATTTGCTTTGTCATTGCTAGCCAGTTAGGATAGTAAATAATGAACGATGTCGAAGTCGTTTGGAAGATATACGTAACACATGTTCAAGACAATGTTAGTCGAACACAAAAAGGCGCTGCACATCCTTAGCTTGAAAAGGCCGAGTTTTATAGGGGTAGAGGAGAACTGTTCACACCGAAGCGTTATAAATTCGACTTTGTATTGATTGGTCACGGGAGTGCAACCAATTTCATGTTGTCTAGTCCTGAGTGCAGACCGTATTCTATCGATCATATTTGCAATGTGGCAACCAAGCTTGAAACCTCAGCATTGAGGTGCCCATTAGTAGATGTTAGTTGGTTGGAGGCAATTGGCAAGGCTTCCTGCCTTTTACCGTCAAACTAACGTCGCGACCACCTGAAAGGTAGCTGAGATTGATGTACCCTACTCTGGCTTTCTATATGTAGTTAGAAACGTCATCAATCTTACCTTCACAACCACTCACAGAACTACCTACTTATATTTTCGTACGCCAACGGTTCATATTCCCAATGAATACTATACGCACGCTTAGCTGACCTCTAACTTAGTACACAAGAGCCACTGACTGCAATCCCGGGCTGAATAGAGAGAAAAACGGAAGCTGAATAATGAGAGAGTTTATTACTCCGAGAAGATAATGATAATTAAACAATCCCAAAACATGTGAATAACTACACACATGAAATGCGTCCTTGTCCACAATTGGAGACATTGGCATAGTATAGGGAAAGGTTAACCAACCGGCGATTTACATTACAATGGAGGCCGGAAAGTAGACTACTAGTCATACCGTTAAAAAAATGGTTTGAGATTGTTAACAATGTTTGATATAAAAACTGGGGCATCACAACAACCTGGATATGATGATGATGATGATGATGAGATAAGATAGATCACCTTTTTCATGATAAGGTGATTTCTTGTCTTCTTATTTCACACTTTTAGTGAAAATATGGCTTGGAAACTCCATTTTCAAGCAATACATCATAGGTTCCGACTCTACTACAGTTAGACAATTGAATCGGTATCATAAGCCTTGATAGAGAATACATTTTGGGCATATAGCTAAGTACGGCATTTATTTATATGTACTGTAGCCGTGAGGAGAAAAATACTCAACAATAACATTTTGGTGACAGTTTTCATCTATGTCATGAACTGAAAAAAGTTGGAAATATGAATGTTTGTAGTCTATACCCAGTGACAATGGCAATGGAACCTGAAAGTCGTCGGGTCATGGGTGCATATTTCATAGCAGGAAGATGTATAGACGTCATCATCATCATCATCCATGTATCATCAACATACAACCAGGCATTATTACATAATGGTCCAACTTGTCACATCAGTACATCAAATAAACAAGCTAGACAAATGAAAGATGTAGAAAGAAAGGAACAATGAGATTCCGTATAGTGCTTAAGATGACATTGTTTATGAGCCATGTGATCACCTAGAGTCAGTCTCCAAACACTCTTCGTTTCTCTTCGCCCACAGACCCCAACTGGCTGGCTAGTCTGCATCGCCCCCAAATGACTCACACTAATAGTCAGCAACTTCATACATTGATGACATGTTTAAGTCTGGTCGCCCCTTTCTGCCTTTTTCCGATCTCAACCTACTTCACTCAACATTGTGTGACGAGGCAGACGGTGGATAACACATGTCCGAGCCAGTCAGGCATCTCAGTCGATAGAGGTTTACAACCTCATCAATTGACTTACCTCTTCTTCTCCCTTTCTAAAACTCTACACTTGACTTCTGTGCTACTCATGTGGTGGTACTACGGAATACGGTCTATACTACAAAGGCGATGGTGGTTAAACACCTGAAGCCTTCTCTTGTCTTCCACTTTCAATGGCCATGTTTCGTATTGAGCCATAGAGTAGAATAGAGCGGACTGCTGAGCAGTACCATGTCACCCAAGATAGGCAATCGGATATCACGACGGCGCCACAGGTGGTGTAACTTGGCTGAAGCTAATCAAGCCTTTTGTATTCGTGCTACTGAGCCGCTAGGGCTGATCCCACCTCCCCGGTAAGCGAAGTGATCAACACACTCCAACCGCTACACCCACTCTCCACTGTTAGCCAAGGCACCGTTGAAGACCAAACAATTTACATATGGTTGGTGAGAAACACATTACAAGCATTCTAAAACTGTCACTCAGTGTGTTCAGAAGACTCTGCATCTTGTCACCGTCTTCAGCTTACACGACTGTGTCATCTACGTTGAGATCATGTGAAGGACAAGTGTTATTTATGCATAATCCACCGTCTGCCTCTTCACACAATGTTGAGTGAAGTAGGTTGAGGTTGGAAAAAGACAGAAAGGGGCGACCAGACTTAAACATGTCATCAATGTATGAAGTTGCTGACTGTTAGTGTGAATCATTTGGGGGCGATGCAGACTAGCCAGCCAGTTGGGGTCTGTGGGCGAAGAGAAACGAAAAGCGTTTGGAGACTGACTCTAGATGATCACATGGCTCATAAACAATGTCATCTTAAGCACTATACGGAATCTCATTGTTCCTTTCTTTCTACATCTTCCACTTGTCTAGCTTGTTTACTTGATGTACTGATGTGATGAGGTTTTCTACAGGGTATAGGAAACCTATATAGGGAACTATTAGTCACTGTTGTATACAATGACAGGCAGTTGTTCATCGTGGGATCTTACATACAAGTGCATCATTCTTAGTTTGAATACCGTACTCTTACTTATCCCTTCAGTCTGAGCAATCAATTGATATCTTTATCTAATGTCTTACTAATTTATATATAATATTTCTTTCTGTGTCGCTTATTTCTTTGTTTATTTGCTTCTATTTTTCCGCCTATTACTTTTAGCTAACTGAATTACTTGGTGTTGATATCTCCTCCACTCTACATCGAAGTTTATCACGAGCATGGAAACGAGCTGCAGATGAACAATCTCGTGTATTATGTGAAGCTGTTGAAAATCGTGCCAAGGTTAAAAGGGGGTTTGTGTGTGTGTGTGTGTATGTGTGTGTTTGTATGGTAAACTTTTGTCTCCTCATGTTTATCGAACTCATCTATTTTTTAAGTATTGATAAATTACAAATGAGACCGATTCCATAAAAGGTGACTAGCTATTGTAACTCAGTAGCAACAACTTACAGTCTCCGGTTGACGAGTTCCAGATAGAACGAATCATATCTTGGACTGCTAACTATCTGGAAACAATTATTGTAGCCAGTGTAGCGAATGTTTCAAAATGATCATACCATAACAAACGTCACTCACTGATAATCCTGAAATGATAATATGAAGATTGAAAATACCGAATTATTAAACTTAATCACCTAAAGAAGGTTAGATTTAATAGGTGTAACGGTTGTATTCCTAATCTTTTTACAATCAAACTAACGGGGCCAAAAGTGAAATTTTCCAGATAGTGATAAGCAATTGATTGACTGTGATTTGATTAATCTGTCTCATGGTTAAAAGTATATCGTCTGTATAGGTTAGGATTGAAAGTTTTCTCTACTGATTAGCATGGTGATACCAAGATCACTATGTTATTCCTTCAGGGCTGTATCTAGATTGTCATAGTGATAACACTCCTCACTAACAGGCAATTCTAGTGTAACAGACTTGTCCAAGAAATCGAAAGCTGCTCAAATATTGAGAAATATAACGCCCGTTGATTTGTATTACATGTGAGGGTGTTTACGGATCTAGCATGTAGAGAGTTGATTCCCGTGGTTGTATTGAAACGTCGTGACCAGTCGAACATGAGTACAGTTATTCAACGATGATATTGAATGTAGGTTACGCTATATCGTGAACTGGTAACGTGCTGGTTACGGAACTTGAATATTTAGTTACTAGCGAAGTCAAATATGGAAGGTTGGTGGGCGGGAGGGGGGGTATGGTTTGATGATCATCACTTCGTTCAGCTGGTTAAACCTAATCAGGTAAATCGGTGTTCAAACCTACAACCTACTTGGTTAAACATCCTCTCTCTGAATCAATGAACCACAGGCCTATATATGTGTATGCGTGTGTCAGGGCCTGGTTGCTCAGACCCATGTAGAATTACACGTTGATATGCTATATTGATTATTATTTCATTTGTCCCTTGTGTTCCTAGTGGAACATAGGACTTCATTAGGAGATCTCCATTCTACTCTGTTCTCTGCAATCTTTTGAACCTGGCTACACAAGCTCTCATTTCTTCCTCAAACTATCTCCTCCACGTCAACCTCAGGTGGGACGCCCGACTAGTCGTTTCCCACCAGGCTTCCACTCGAGTGGCTGACACATGATTTCCCCGAATTATCTTCTCATTACATACCGAATCCACATCCATTTCCTTATGCATAGTTATTGAGCGATAGGTTGTTGGTTGGTTGGTCACCAGCCAGCCAGAGTTCCTTGTTGCTTATCGTAATTATTCTGGCCATCTAATCGATCTTCAGTATCGAGCCAGCGTAGGCAGCTGTTGATGAATATCTGTAGTTTGCTGGAAATGCCTTTGGTGACGCGCCAAGTCTCTCAACCATATGGAAGCACTGACTTGACTGAATTAGTGTTGAAATTTTGGATGTTGTTCATGCTTTATGCATAGTGCAGTGCATTAGATCTCCACACTGGTTTCGGGTGAATGAAGGGTGGCCTGTCTTGCTGTGTTTCCGATGGTGGCTGGCTGGCTTTGACATCCTCGTGTGTGCCTGTGCCGCCTATAGTTGAAACGATGCTGCTTAGGAAGGTAGGTGAAAGATACTTGTTCCTTTATGTTTCTCCTGTTGATGGTGATTGGAGGTTGTTGTTGGTGGTGGTGTCGTTGGTGGGGTATTATCATCACCTCTGTCTTCTCTACGTTCACTTGAAGTCTCATCTCCGCTACCCTACCTCTTCTGTCAACTGGTTAGTATTTGCCTGCAGATCTTCGAGAAATCCAAATCTTCTAGGATCTTTTTCTCGGTCCAGCGTATTCCCCTCTTCTCGCTTCTCACAGTTGTTTGCTGCATGATCCATTCGACTACAATCAGGAATATCATGGGTAACATTAGGTGGAAGCTTTGTCTCACTCCTATCATCACTTCAAAGGCTTGTTGCGTCTGCTTAGCTGTTGAATGAGGTTGATGATAAAGATTTATTGAAGCAGTTAGTCGACGTTGTCAAAGGCCTTTTCAATATCGATGAAGTTGAGGTGAAGACAGTTGATAGCTATTCTATTCTCTGTTCATTGATGATGCATAGTGTTTCCGATTTGTTTCATACACATGACTTGTTCTTCCTAAATCCAGTTAGGCAGCGTGTTTCAGTCGTAGTTTTGAATTCAGATCATTTTTTTTTTGAAAAATCTCTCCAAGATGATGGGGTATAATATTTTGCTTGCTTTCAGTGAACAGCAGGATGATTCCTTGCAAAGAATTAGGTCATTCTTCTTCTAATCTCTAGGCACCTTTCCTTCTAGACCTTCTGCAGTAGTGATATGAGCATTTTTAGCTGTTGTAGGTGTGTTTTTCTTTCTAATTTACAATGTAATATATCTCCTCTTCTTCTTCTTCTTCTTCTTTTCACTTGATGATATTATATGTATATGTATATAGCAAGAATCTTGGGAGACAATATCAAATTTGCCTAAAGGTGAACAAGAGAAAATTATTTCAGATCTGATTGATTTCTCTTTACTGAATCAGTATAGTGCAGCTGATTGTAAGTTGTATTTACCTAACTGTTTATTATTATTATTATTAGTCCCTTGGGTTCCTAGTGGAACATACGGCTTCAGTAGCACTTCTCCACTACACTCTATTCTCTGAGATGTTTTGAACCTGGCTCCATGACAGCCCAGAAGCTCTCATTTCCTCCTCGCATTACCTCCTCTATGTCACCCTCGGACGTCCAACTAGTCGTTTCCCATGGGGATTCCACTCGAGGGTCTGACGCGTGATGTCCTCAGTCGGCCTTCTCAGTGTATGCTCAATCCATCTCCACTTCCTCCTGCATATTTGTTGTGTGATAGGTTCTTGGTTGGTACGTTCCCAGAGCTCCTTGTTGCTTATTCTTTCTGGCAATCCATCTGATCTTCAGTAACGAGCCAGTGTAGGTAGTTGTTGATGAATGTCTGTAGTTTATTGGGAATCCCTTTCGTGACGCGCCAAGTCTCTGAGTCATACAAGAGCACTGACTTGACGTTGGTGTTGAAAATCCGAATCTTGTTCTGCATGCTGAGTGCAGTGCAGAAGATCTCCACACTGGTTTCAGGCTAATGAACACCTGTGTTGCTTTTCCGATTCTGACTTTGACGTCCTCGTCCGTCCTGCCTGCAGTTGAAACAGTGCTTTCTAGATAAGTGAAAGAGGCTACTTCCTTTAAGTTTCTCCCGTTGATGATGACTGGAGTTTGTTGTTGGTGGTGGTGCGGTATCTTCATCACTTCTGTCTTCTTTATATTCACCTGAAGTCCCGTCTTAGCTGCCTCTTCTGTCAACTTGTTAGTTTTTGCCTGCAGATCTTCAAGTTTATGTGACATCAGACACAAGTCATCACTGGCGAAATCCAAGTCTTCTAGGTTCTTTTCCGCAGTCCAGTGTATCCCTCTCTTCTCGCTCCTGACTGTTTGCTGCATGATCCAGTCCAGTCGACCACAATCAGGAATATCATGGGGGATAGTAGGCAACCTTGTTTCACTCCTATCTTCACTTCACTTCGGAAGCGTCACTGAGCTTCCCATTGTGAATTACTTGGCATGTGGCATCTTGTTTATTATATATATATATATATATATATATATATATATATATATATATATATATATATATATATATATAATAAGTTATTATCTTACTTTACTGTATACAATAGATTTTTATTCAGTATTTAATCAAGTCAATAGACACCTCAACTGAATAGTTTTACGACTGACCTCCTTCAATACTGCTGTCTACTTCACTGAACCGTGTAGGAAACTTACAAGACTGCAACAGCAGGGATAATGTTTATAAGGCAAATACATGACATATATATATATATACAAAACTCTTAGAAAGTGAAGCCATAGATGAACCAATCAGATTTGTTTGTTCGAGATGGAATTTGTCCAATCAGGTTCTCATGTCAATGCATGCATAAATCATGACTTGAAAACAACACTCCTATTGGTTGCCTTTTTGTCCTAACATATCAGTATATTCTTAGGGTTGTCTGTCTGTCTATCTGTCCGTCTGTTTACACTATGAAATAATGGAGAATATTTATAGCTCAGGTGGGGATAGTCATGGTTGTATTGTATTCCCTGAGAAGCTGAGTTGTTTAGTCGTAAAGCTTTCACATCGTCTTTCTGGATGACATCATCAGCCTAGCATTCAGGTCAGTTAGTGAGCAATCAACAGATGTATAGACATAGTACCTAATCTATCAACGAGTAAGAGAAAATGATAAACGACAGAAAGGTGAGATGAAAAGCCAACAAGAAAGTCTATACAGTCAGTCAATGACAGAACAATCGAGATAAACAACTAATCACAGACTACATCGTCAGAGCAAGCTACTAAATCACTGACGGAGAGATATTGACATGTCATAATTCATACTGAAGTTAGTGGTGTAGATGATGTCGTCTAACAAGACATTTGCGGAAATCTGTTTGTATTCTCCCGTTTATATGTCCATGACTTCAATGCTCAAGTTGACAAGTTGAACTAATCAGCAACATAGAGGTGTATCATCAAGGTATCTACCGATAAACTGTCAGTTATTCTTAACAATTGGCGTTAATCGACATTAAATCAATAATGGTGGATATGGGTAAATCATATCGCTATGAGATGTTAATGTAGAGGGTTACTTAGATTGCCTCATTGGACATTGATAATGCTTTAGTATGTTCTGTGAATACCCTCGCCTCAGACGCCCAACTCATCGTTTCCTCTTTAGATTCCACTTGAGGCTCTAACCTAATGTCCCCATCCGGCCTACACGGTGTATGCCCAATCCATCTACACATTCTCCTGCATATTTGTTGGGTGATTGGTTGGTTGGTTCCTTGTTGCAGAAGAAGTAACAAAGCAAGACAAGTGGTGTATGAAATTGAATGCACCTATTCTTTCTCGATTCTACGGCAGATCAAAACTACACAAACTAGATATCCCTCTACGACCAATTGTCTCACTTCCGAGAACTCCAACATACAACATATCAAAAGAACTTTCGAGAAAACTGAAACACTTCGTTCAATCATCTGGACATTCCATCAAGTCACCAACGGAATTCTTAGGAGAGATGAAGAGCATTAACATACAAAACGACGAATTAATTGGCCAAGGAAACGATGTCCCTTCTGCTCATTGAACACACAAACCTTTTAGAATGCACAAAACTCAAATGTTCAAGTCTCATGGGACTCATCGACCTTTGTCTGACAACATACAGAAGGAAGTCGAATCGGATCACCGATATCCGCACTAATCGCACAAGCAGTGACTACAGTGGAGACTGCAAGGCATCATTCTACCTGCGATCAAACCGGAAATTTGGATTCCCTATATACATGATACAGAGAACACTCACAGTTTGATCAACATTTTCGCTGATAACATCAAAGTCACAATGGAGAAGGAGTCGAACACAACCAACTACCATTTCTGGATGTTTTAGTCAATCGGACAATTCCCGGAAAGCTTGGAACTCAAGTGTACAGGAAGCCAACACACACTGACTGATCAAATCCTCAACTACGGTGTAGCAACAACCCAGTGGCACACAAAATCAGTTGCATGCAGACCTTATTCAATAGAGTGAGAACACACTGCACTGCAGTACAACAACTTCATGGAGAAACGAAGAAAATTACTTGATGTCCACCCTAAGGAAGAACGGATACCAACAAAACTTTTTCAGAAGAAGATGTCTATCCCGTACAACATCAACTACAAAGTCATCGACAGAAATCTACAAACACATCATGCTACCGCATATGAAGAAGAGATCAGAAATCATGACAAGATTAGTAAGACCACATGTAATTGATGTGGGGTGCCTCATACACTAACAAATTCCTTCCAAACACTATTATACAGACCACAGGGAACGCAACAGTCAAAGAAGAGAAGACAAACTGTATATCATTTACAAAATCAATTGGAATAACTGTGGTCAACACTACCTTCATTGGTCCAAGTGGTCGCCCTCTTCGCCTCCATCTACATAAGAACATTAATTGGCTAATTACTCAATCCAAGTGAATAACAACTATGCACATGAATTCAACTTTGACAATGTAGAAAAGGTTGGTCAGGGAGAGGAAACACAAAGAATATCCATCAGTGAATTTCTATAAGCTTGGCATTCAGGTCAGTCAGCAATCAATAGATGTATAGATGTGGACTCAATCCATCAACCATTCAGACATATGATAAACGACAGAAAGGTTAGAGGTCAAGTAAAATAACATCAAATTCACAATGGAGAAGGAGTCGAACACAACCAACTACCATTTCTCGATGTGCTATTCAGTAGGATTAATGCCGAAGAGCTGGAAACCGAAGTGTACATGGAGCCGGCACACACTGACTGATCAAATCCTCAACTACGGTGTAGCAACAACCCAGTGGCACACAAAATCAGTTGCATGCAGACCTTATTCAATAGAGTGAGAACACACTGCACTGCAGTACAACAACTTCATGGAGAAACGAAGAAAATTACTTGATGTCCGTCTTAAAGAAGAACGGTACCCACGAAACTTTATCAGAAGATGTCTATCCCGTACAACACCAACTACAAAGTCATCCACAGAAATCTACAAACGCATCACCTACCGTACATGAAGAAGAGATCAGAAATCATGACAAGATTACTGAGACCACATGGAATTGATGTGGGGTGCCTCATACACTAACAAATTCCTTCCAAACACTATTATACAGACCACAGGGAACGCAACAGTCAAAGAAGAGAAGACAAACTGTATATCATTTACAAAATCAATTGGAATAACTGTGGTCAATACTACCTTCATTGGTCCAAGTGGTCGCCCTCTTCGCCTCCATCTACATAAGAACATTAATTGGCTAATTACTCAATCCAAGTGAATAACAACTATGCACATGAATTCAACTTTGACAATGTAGAAAAGGTTGGCCAGAGAGAGGAGACACAAAGAATATCCATCAGTGAATTTCTATAAGCTTGGCATTCAGGTCAGTCAGCAATCAATAGATGTATAGATGTGGACTCAATCCATCAACCATTCAGACATATGATAAACGACAGAAAGGTTAGAGGTCAAGTAAAATAACAATCAATAGGAAAATTCTTTTTTACAGTTGGTCAAGGCAAGGTACTAAATCACTCATGGAGAGATATTGACAACCAGCTCACTTTCTACTGCAGTTAATGCTGTGGGATGATGTCGTATACAAAGAAAGACGATAGAAACTTCTCCATCGTTACATAGCCTAGCTTCTACGTCAGAGAACACAATACAACCAAGAAAGTGAAAATTGTTCAGAGTCATCTGACGTATTTAATATTCACTAGTTAACTTTTGAATATTATTTGAAGAAATTTGATATAAGAGGAGATTAGTGGATCACTGATAAAATCTATCAGAACTAGACGTCTAGAATATTTGGATAGTAGAATTTATAGAATACTGACCTACACCTGTTCAATATTCAATCCTTCCTGTTGATCTTGGTTCCTATAACTGTAGTTGAAGTGTTGAAATAGCCAGTCGTAATGGTTTATCGAAACCTGCCTTATTATTTCTTGATCTGAAGGTTTTTATTCAACTCTATCACTATAGAGATGGCGTTGATTGTATCTAACACTAATCAATAACTCTCTACTCAAACTCAAGCAGCTTTGGATGGACTGATGAAGGAGTTTTTAAAAAACTGACCTATAACTGTAATTCTCATCAATATATCAAACCAATAGTATGAAAGATAAATACTTTACTCTGATTGGTCTGTTGTTGGATGAGATTAACCAATAAGGCTTTTTCTTGACTACACAGTAGTAACATAAAAGAGTTCATGTGTTGATATTTATTGAGGTGGGTGGGTCCATTAGTTACACTAGTAGACAATATATACCTTTAGCGTTTTTTTCTGAACGTAAACATTTGTTTGCTTTAAAGTGGAATGAACCAGATCATATGAAATGTATCAGAGTAGTTCAGTTTTAGGTTAACATGCATCATTCTATTTAGAAGTTTATACAAATCGATTAGTTAATTGATTTCGAACAGGAAGTTTTTCACCCAAGTTGGTATGTGGCAGTTTAAAATCCATCAAACCTTGGAAGTTGGATCAGTCCTGTTGGTTGATGAAATATTTGCCAGTGTACTGTACTGTTGTGAAACATGGTCATTCAAGGTAGAAGATATGAAAAGGCTACAGGTTTTCGACTAAATTTACCCTGAAGGTGTCATTAAATGAGTAACTTAGAAGTCAGACGTAGGGTTTTACGTAGGAAGGAGAGGTTAGTTAGTTGATGTGGTTGTGAACCTTCATCGACTTCATAAATGTATGTGAAGTGTCTGACTGTTGGTTTGAGCCATATGTAGGTGATTCAGACTAGCTGGTTGTGGTCCATGGGATAAGAGAAACCAACAGTGAAATGATTGAGAAGTGATGTCAGTGTCGCAGATGTATCCTCATACACATTATCCTCATCATCTCATTCGTTCTTCCTGTCTTTTACCTACTCTCTACCTCCTTTCAGTGATGTGTATCTCCTTCTTCATCTTCCATTTTATTGCCTCGTGTACTTGATGTGCTGATATGAGGTGACGTGTTACTGGTATCTTGAACCGTTACGCATTAATGTCTAGTCCTATGTTGATCTAGTTGATAAGGAAAATGAATTACTGTGTAAAACTTTCATGAAGTCACCTTAAGAAGCTGTCACCACCTGTAGAATCAACAAAGTCGTGTGTGTGTGTGAAGTACTAGTCGATGGCATTAATTGAAGACGTCAGAAGGCTTCAGGTGTTCCACCACAGTTGCCCTGAAGGTGTCACCAGATGAGGAACTCAGAAGTCAAACGTAGGAAGGAGAGGTTACATAGTTGATGTGGTTGTAAACCTTCATCGACCGAGATGATTAGTGTGTGTGTGGAACAGTACTAGTCGATGGTATTAGTGATTGATAGTCGGCCTGTATCGTATACGAATTGATAAAAGTTGAAGAGATATGGAGCATTATATTTCCAACCTTAGTTGCTTACTCAATGGTAACATGCTCACGGCGAAAGCTAAATGTTGTATGTGATTACATCAAAATGCTTATATGATGAAAACTTCTACCTTGATCTAGTCTGTTATCATCAATTCACTCTCTATCTGTGCATTACTATACTTTGTATACTTTCTTTTTGGACTACGACCGGATTCGAACGAGCGCATTACTCTACCAATCACAAGGTTGGATTTTACCTGATGACTACCATGTGGATTTGTGACGCGTTACTATCATTTGATCGAATTATTTATTAACTTTTTATTTGTGCTGGATGATGATAATGATGAAAATCTCAACCTTGGCTGGATTCGAATTAGCGACCATCAGGTTACCATCCCGGTACTCTTCCAAATGAGCTATATGAAGTCCTGACAGGTGAACTGTCTGGCAATCATAGTAATGCGTCACAAATTTACATGATAATCGTAGGGCAAAATCCACCTTAGTGATTGAAGTGTGTAATAAAATTTTGGTCATCGGTGAGTCGGTCGTGCCAATTCGACCACCGTCCAGATTTTCATTTCACCTTCAATCATCATCATTTACTGACTCATTTAACTATTTATTTCCTTTGTAATGATGGATCGTGGCTAGCAGTGGAATCCAGCATGCATATTTCGTCCTATTTGGTATTCGTCAGTTGGATGTACCTGCACCCCAGTCACTGATGTTGTTCTCACTCAAACTCGAAGTTCGTAAGCATCGCTTCAGACGCCAAGGCGTTATCCACTATACCACGGAGGATCGGCAGCCGCTTTTTGTTCAACGGGTGATAGTTATTACTATGTATTTGACATACTTGTTATTCTCTGTTGGTTTTTTGTGTTGGATCGAATTGTTCGACGTGTATTGGCATATAGGTTGGTGTATGTGGATGCCTCGATAATGCTTGAATGTTATTTATGATAATTTGGTTGGTTGTGGCTAGGAGAAGAATGGAGGACATGTGTTTGAACTTTTTAGGAGTTGTCAAGCAATTCGATCCAACACAACAAACAACGGAGAATAACAAGTATGTCAATAAAATGTTTGTTATTGTTATTGTTGGTCTCTTGGGTTCCTAGTGGAACATACGGCTTCAGTAGCACGTCTCCATTTCACTCTCTTCTCTGCAATCTATTGAACCTGGCTCCACCAATACCCGGAAGCTCTTATTTCTTCCTCACACCATCTCCTCCATGTAACCCTCAGCTTGGGCACCCAACTCGCCGTTTCGCATCTGGATTCCACTTGAGGGACTGTCTGAGGTGTGATGTCGCTGAATGGTCTTCTCAGTGCATGCCCAATTCATCTCCACCTTCTCCTGCATACTTGTTAAGAGATAAGTTCTTGCTTCGTTGCCAGCCAGCCAGAGTTCCTTGTTAATTATTCTTTCTGGCCACCTAAGCTTCAGTATCGAGGCAGCGTAGGCAGTTGTTGATGAATATCTGTAGTTTGCTGGAAATGCTCCTCGTGACGCGCTAAGTCTCTCAACTATATAGAAGCACTAACTTTACTGGATTGGTGTTGAAAATCCGGATGTTGTTCACGCTTTATGCATAGTGCAGTGCAGTAGATCTCCACACTGGTTTCAGGTGAATGAAGGGTGGCCTGTCTTGCTGTGTTTCCGATGCTGGTTGGCTGGCTTTGACATCCTCGTGTGTGCCTGTGCCACCTGTAGTTGAAACGATGCTGCCTAGGAAGGTAGGTGAAAGAGACTTGTTCCTTTATGTTTCTCCGGTTGATGGTGATAGGAGCTTGTTGGTGGTGGTGGTGGTGGCGTTGGTTGGGTATCTTCATCACCTCCGTCTTCGCTACATTCACTTGAAGTCCCATCTTCTCTGCCTCTTCTGTCAACTTTTTAGTTTACACCTGTAGATCCTCAAGTTTATATGACATTATGCACAAGTCTTCTAGAATCTTTTCATCGATCCAGTCAGCGTATCTCACTCTTCTCGCTCCTCACAGTTGTTTGTTGTATGATCTAGTCGACTACAATCACAAAGATCATGGCTGATTTACTTATTTCTTTGTTTATTCAAATATTCATGGATTCATTGAATAATTGATTCGTTAACTTATTTATTTATTTATTTATTTATTTATTTATTTAATTTATTTATTTATTTATTTATTTATTTATTTATTTATTTATTTATGTAGATGGTATCAAATTGACAATGAGTGCATACTATTTAATTCGATCTATTCGTCAATTTATTCAAAGTGTTAATCTACTGAATTGTTCTGAGTTAAGTGTTACTTTAACAGCATGTTTTGTGCATATGCTTAATTCACAACTTGATTGTTATGAACGTGTATCACCGATTGATATTGCTGATCCAGCTAGAGTAAGTTTGTGTGTATGTGTATGTGTATGTATGTAATTACATCTTTGACCCTAATGATGAATATTTTGTGGAAGATAATATCAACAGAAACTCTTATATAGGTTAGCTTCATCAACCATACTTCAACTGGATAATGAATTACATGGAAAGATGAATATAATTGATGAAAAATTCCACTTCACAATGTACATAGATACTCTGAAACACCTGAAACAAGGCATACACTTTGTTCATATGAGATCATAACGTTGAACGGTTAAGAAGATGATGAAGGAGAATATGTATATGATAGTATCATATATTCTTCGTACACTCGATTCTGATTGGTTGTTGGCTACTGGAATATGATTGGCTGTCGTCACTCAGTTATTGTTATTCATAGTAGTTGGAAGAACAAAGGAAACCTGGAAGCACTTGACAGCTAGTTGTCTCGTCCTAGTATTATGGGACTCCTTAGCAGTGTGCACACATGACCTTCAGGTTCCGTGGCCATTGGATTCTGACCCAGTAGCTTAGTGGTAACGTGTTGACCACGAAACCTTAAAGTCACGGGTTCGACCCCTGACGGGGTCGTTGGTGCGCACTACTGAGAATGAATAACAACTTGAAATATTCCGAAATCTCCACAACTCCCTTAAAAATTCTATATGTAGCTTTGCAGAAACTTTCTTCCCAGAAACGCACTGACACGTCTGAAACGAAGCATACACTTTGTTGATATGAGATCATGACGTTGAATATATGTTGAATCATTTTAAAATGTTTGTAGAGCGAACGATTGAGAAGATGATGAAGGCGAATACGTGTATACTATGGTGTCATACATCCTTCACATTGTCGATTCTGATTGGTTGTTGCCCACTGGAATGTGATTGGCTGTCGTTATGTGTAGCTTTCAAGTTTTTATTCTTAGTAGACTGACATTAGTTGGAAGAACAAAGGAAACCTAAGAGCACTTAATAGCTAGCTATCTCGTCCTAGTATTATGCGACTCCTTAACAGTGCCCGCTCACGACTCCACCAGGAGTCGAACCTGGGACCTTCAGGTTCAGTGATCAACACATCATCATTAGGCCACTGGGTCAGAATCCAGAGCACTGCCTAGGAGTCCTATACTAGAACGAAACAGCTTTCCAGTGCTCCCATGTTTCCAATGTTACTCCAAATGATGTCAGTCTACGATGATTCTGATTGGTTGTTGCCTACTGGAATATGATTGGCTGTCGTCACTAAAGTTTTGTGTAGGTTTGCTGAAATTTTCTTACCATTGATTAATTGGACATGATCATGGTTACACACTATGGAAGCGTCCATCCATCTTGAGGTTGTTTTTTTTTTTCACCTTAAAATCGATTTATTCACTTTAGAGTAATTTTTTTTTGTTTTCTCGGGGTGGGGGTTTTTTTCTCTTTCATTTTTAGCAATCTGTCATTTTAATCAATCTTGAATTTTTAATTAAATCAATTATACCGAAATTAAGTAATATCTTAAATTGTACTGAAAATTCTACTATCAAAGGATTATTATCCAATTTAAAAGGATGTTTGCATAGTATCAAAGGTGTAGACGATGATGCTGTTGATGTCGATGTCGAGGATGAAAATACACTTGGCGATGCAATATAAAGTAATTGTGATATATTTTGTTCAGAGAAAGTTTTTCTTGTTACTGTTTGTTTGTTTTTTGTGTGTGTTTTCTGCATAAAATAATAATAATTCAGTTTATAGTTTCTTGTTCATTAAAGTTTAAAATTTCAACCATAATCGGATTCGATCCAATGACTATTAGGTTCTTAGCTTGATGCTTTACTAACTAAGATATACGGTGGTCACTGATTGAAATCTGAGCGTGATCTAACCCGCCTCCCCCCCGTCCTCACCACTGCTATCTCACACAGTCAGTGAGAATGTCATAGATTGTGCTATATTATACACATAGAGATGTATATCATCCATTCACATGACACATGTGTTACCCTTTCGATGATTAAAGTGATATATCAGCTGGAATAATGTAGGATCAATATACTTGAAGCGGTTTGTGTAGTATCTGAGTAAATAGTAGGGAATTGGTGAATGATCCTAACATAAAGAGACACTTAGATTGGATAACGATTGTTTCTTCTTCAATTTTCATGAAATATTGAATAGCTAATTATGATTGGTCGACTGTCGGATACAATTAGCCAATCAGGTTTCTCCTGACTACACAGCGTATTGATATGAGATAATGAGTAGGATTTTCAATATGTTAGTGAGTGTAGGTGATGTTGTTCTCTCTTTCTGTTTGTCGACCTCTTTGAAAGGGGAGTACACTGTATTGAAGTTTCCGTATATTGTTTTATACAGCTAGAAGATATTAACGTTAAAGATAGACGATATACGTAGATTATAGGTGTGTTTTTAGCATTACTTATGTATGATGGAATTACTGTATGCTCTGTGTTGAGCTTAAGCGAAACGTGGTATGTACTGTGTAGGCTGAGCCACTATCGCTTATTACTTCAACCTGAAATCCCTTCTATGCAATAGAGTAAATATACACATTGAGATGATCCAAAGCGGTAACTTGTCCTTAATCCACTCTGGAACCAATTGTTGACTAGAGAAGCTGATGTATAGCTTTGCAGAGAAGAATGTCCTGTACACTGGTCTAGAAGCTTGATGTCTACTGCTGTATCACTTTTGAAATCAACTTTCATAAACAAGGTCTTCTTTGAAACTATGAATACTTGCTCTGTGTTCTGTTAAGAGATACACTACCCTAACTTTACAAAAAGTTATCTACATTCTGGAAGGCATCTAGTTGACACTAGAATATGTGGATGAAATTGTCGTGCTTAGTCAACACGCTTATTAAATGAAAGATTTTCTGAACACTTTTCACTCCAACAATGGTCTGTAATCACTCTCATAGCAATGATAAGGAGATGAAGTTGTGGAATGTGTTTGTCACTTCAGTTAATTTGGGAGGGTTCAATCATCTAGAACAGGCTTCTTCGTGATGAAATCTCTATGGCGCCGACTGGTAAGATATTTCGCTATGCTGCTTTGCTCTGCTTCATTGATTGAGTTGGCTTGGATATGTGTTGCACATTTTGAGCTACCTGTTATGCCAGAAGAAGGTGGATTCTTTGAGAAGATAGCTTAAGGTAATCAGATCAAGACGTGAGATCTTCAAGGTCAGCGATAGTCTAAATAGGTCACTGGTAACATCTTTGATTGCACCAGTAAATAACGCAGGTTCAAATTGCATAAGGTCACCAGTTCCCTACATGTTACAGGCATGTCTTACTGACGAGTGCATCCCAACCGACTAATCACTATCAAAGTGCATAGAAGTGTTGAGTTTCCTATTCGCAAAGTATCGACAGAACTCAGTCAACACTGATAAGAAGAAAATATGAAATTGATTACACTCCAGTGACTAATTTATGTGTTTTCCTCTCCCCCCCCCTCCCCTAAAAAAAATGTAGATAACTTGTATAAACTATGATCACGATTTGGTCGAATAGTATCGTAAATATTTGGTATTGAAGAAGAAAAGTTGATATGAGATATAGTTTGTATTCGTGTTTTGTACACAAGTCTGATCCGAGCTTCTTCAGGTGAATAATCAGAAACTAGACCATCAAAAGATATAGCTGTTATGATACTTGTAATTTCCCGTTGCTATACAAGGCTACTGTTGATAGATGGGCTCCTATGGCTTAGTGGATAACGCTCTGATATTTCATTCGGAGGATATTCCCTTTGAGACTCCGTGAGTGTAAGTACATCCAGCTGACCAGTCCTAATTAGGACGAATTATGCCTCAAGGTGAATTCCTCTGCTAATCATCGAGATCAATATGATATGAAGAGAATATATATAATTCAATTCAAAGATATAACTTCATCCCCTTGTTCAATCCTCTAAAATAAGATTACTAGCCATTCAATATGATATGACATGTCTCTTATGGTACGGTTGATGTGTACGTGTGTGTATGTGTGTTGTTATTCATATTCTTCTCTCGACAGAAAATAGAGTCACCGGGGACATTGTGGACATTCGATAACTTTACACCTACGACAGGCTATATGAAGTAGGCGAATATGTATGCCGGTCCCATTGGTATCAGCCAATATATTCCATTGATTTGTCGAAACAATAATAACGAATGAAATCATTTCAGATTGTCTGTTGTTGACGATAAGTGTTTCGAGTCAGTCCTTCTGTTTACTAATTAGTAACTCCTAAGAGGGGGCATATAACTGTAACTGTCTGAATTCGTCCATATTTCGAGGGATTCAAGTGTCAATTTGTCATGATATGACACAGAACCGTTGTATGGAGTTTCGTTTCCGTCAATGTCAACTTTGTAACCCATTTCATTGGACTAACATCTTGTTTTCTAGCTTCTTAACCTTTGTGAAAGTTTTCACAATCTATTTCTCCACTTTTATGTTTACCTATCTGGCTGCACTACAGTTTATGTATTCAATTCGATGAACGCAGTTCTGTTGATTTTCTTTACGTATTATATATTACCAAAGTTTAGGTATTTGTTATGAATCAGCCTTCTTATCTTTTCGACTATCTCCTTTACGGTAAACGATTATCTCCCATTGTGATCGAGTTTTGTTATATATCCATAATCTTATCTTCTAACATTCTTCTTATGAAATTCCTCAGATAATAGTTTACTTTCACTGTTCGGTCTATAATTAACTCTATTGTACACATTTAATGGTCAAAAGATATCAGAATGTTTTGTTTTATCAAAACACATTAATCTCTAGTTTATTGTAATGCGGTTGTCTTTTCACAATACACATTGTAGATGATAATTCTGAAAAGTTGGATTCAACTTGGTTGGTGAAAGTGATCGTTTCGCGTTTTATATTCATTTATATGACAGGGGAGTTGATTCACAGCGTTACACTAAATGATAATGAACGTATCGTTTGTTTACCTTCAGGGAATTCTTGGAGATGTAAAGCATTTTACTATTGCATTTATCTTTAATGAATGCAAGAACAAGTTAACTACTATTAACGGATACTGGAGATCCCGTTGCTCTGCCATCTATCTCTATCGGTGGAGATCTTCTCTGAAGGTGAATACAGTCAATTATTATTATTATTTGTCTCTTGGGTTTCTAATGGAACATACGGCTTCACTAGCACGTCTCCAATGCACTCTAGCCTCTGAAATCTTACGAACCTGGCTCAACGACTGCCTACAAGCTCTCATTTCCTCCTCGTACTATCTCCTTCATGTCACTCTCAGCTGGGACGCCTAACTTGTCGCTTCCGATCTAGGTTCCACTCGAGTGCCTGGCGTGTGATTTCCTCTGATGGCCTTCTCAGTATATGCCCAATCCATCTCCACTTTCTTCACCTGCATATTTGTTGTATGATAAGTTATTGCAAGCCAGAGTGAGTTCGTTGTTGCTTATTCTGGCCATCTCATCGATCTTCAGTAACAAGTGAGCGTAGACAGTTGTTGATGAATGTGTGTAGTTTGTTAGAAATCCCATTCGTAAAGCGCCAAGTTTCTTAACCACATAGAAGCAAGCACTGACTTGACTAACTTAGTGTTAAAAATCTGGATCTTGTTCACGCTTTATGCTGAGTGCAGATCTCTACACTGATTTCAGGCTAATGAACGCCTATCTTTCTGATCCTGGCCGATTTTGACGTCGTCGTCTGTGCCACCGCCTGTGGTTGAAACGATGCTGCCTACATAGGTGAAAGAGGCTACTTCCTTAAAGTCTCCCCTGTTGATGGTGATTGGAGCTTGTTGTTCTTGTTGGTCGGATATCATTATCACCTCTGTCTTCTCTATGTTCACTCGAAGGGGATCCTGTCTTCATTGCCTCGCCTCTTCTGTCAACTTGTTAGTTTTCGCCTGTAGATCTTCGAATTTGTGCGACATGGCTTTTACATACAAGTCATCGGTGAAATCTAAATCTTCTAGGTTCTTTTCCGCGGTCCAGCATATCCCCCTCTTCTCGACCCTCACGGTTTGTTGCATGATCCAGTCCACTACAATCAGGAATATCATGGGTGATAGTAGACAGCTTTGTTTTACTCTTGTCTTAACTTCACTTCAAAGACATTACTCAGCTTCCCATTGTGAATGAATACAGTCAAGCGTAACCATAATTTCAGGGACTTTAGAAGTTCTCTTCGATCTGATAAGCAGTATGAACTTAGGTCAGTATGTGACAACATTAGTTGGCAAATCTCAACAACAACAAAATATCCCCGGGGTATATTGGCTTTCTGCAGACGTATAGTAGTTACAACAGCAACATTCTAACAAATGACAGACTCGAATCAAACATATATACTATCCAACGGTGGGTGTTTAGGGCCAGTCGACGAATGGTCCCATTAGAGTAAAACATATAACGACGATCGTTTCTTGAAAGTTATCCTCATTTTAACCATCTGAGTTTGATTGAAGGTAAAATTGGGATTTGAATCATGACCGGATTCGAACCAGCAATCACCTTGGTTCCCCGTCCGACACTCTACCCACTGAGTCACGATCAAGCTGTAGTTTCGTGTCATGAATTCACATGCTCAACATTCAGACTTTGTAGCTGAATTAGTACAGCATCGGGCCAGGAACCC